ATGCATCAACTTGCATATTAACTTTAAAAGTTGGTGGAGACCAGCAGAGACCTCCACACTGCTGATCACCTCACTTGCAGTGATGCCCTTATTGAATGAACAGATGGTCTTCTTAATCTTGCAACAGGCACAAGTCTGCCTACAGCCAGCACCTTCAGTTACCAGATGTGTATAACAGGGTGTGCCATCTTGATAGCAGCACACACAACTCCTTGAAAACAGAACTAAGACAAGCCAACCAGAAACAATAAGACACTTACTTTCACTGCTCAATTTCTTTTTGCTCTCTGCTGGCCCTGCAATCTCTAACTTTGCCCTCTTCTTGAGACTGGCCACCACCTCTGTCTCACTGCTATTCACTATACTTCTTGACCTGAACTTACATTTATGGCTCTTCTCTGTCAGACCTGCCACTCTCTTCTTCCTCTCTTGCACTCACTTTCTTCTCTCCAGAGTCCTCTCAGATTCTTTCAACTCATCATTCCCCTTGGTCCCCTTATCCTGCTCATCATTAGACTCCAGAGACATACAGCCAGTCACTCTCTTGAAGTGAAGACTGAGACTAGGACCAAACTGTTCTGTCAGCACTTGATGCAGCCAAAAATCAACAGCCTCTGCAGAGGTCATTTGCAACTCATTCTCTATAACTATCCCCTCCTGCCCTACTTCCAAGGCCTCAGCCCTCATTATGGCCTCTATGGCCTCCCTCTTCTTAGCCTCCCTTTGAGCTGCCTCTCTCAACACCTCCTCCACCTCCTTTGCCCATCTCTCTGCTGTCCACTGGACTTCCTCCCTCTTCTTCTCCAACCTCTCTTGCTGCTTCTTTCTCCATGCCTCCTAGATCACATGGTCTGCTCAGACCTTCTTCTCTCTCTCCTGCTCTCTTTTCTACTCTAAGTGGACTTTCACAGTCTCTGCATACTCTTTCTCCATAGTTTGCCATTTCAGATGAAATAATTCCTTAGCCTCTTCAGGGCTATCAGAGGTGGGTTCCCTCACCAAAGGCTTGAGAGTGCATAAGTGATGATACATGGCAAGAGGCAACATAGTGACAAAAGTTTAGGCAATAGTGGTAGTATCTGATCAAGTTGCAAAATTTCCCACAGCTATCAACAATCTTCTATATGGCCTCACCAGCTATCAGGATCTGTGCTCTTGAGAGCAAGAATGCTAATGGAGAGATACTGTTATGCACATGCTGCCAGCCTTTATGTCATCTCAACCAACCACATATTCAATCACCAAAACCCATCAGACTCTGCCTGCTTCTCATTATCTATTAATTTTATTTTTACCATTATCATTTCACATTCATATTTCATATTATAATATCTAGACCCTGAACTCAGTAGCAAATATTGACATTGGAACCCAATAGAACCCAACTCAGAATTAGTTACTATTAGTATATAAAGCCATGTATAACCATTGTAACTACTCAGTTTGAATATCAACTTGGATAGCCATCTACCCTTTGTACTCACTTCAACTTCTCCCTACCTCATTCATCAGATTCCACTCCAAAGGGTACTCCTCTTTGCTTTTCTGATAGAACTCTGTTCTGTCCACTCAAATTCTTGAACCTCAACTCAAGAGTGATGTTGCCAATAGCTTCATTGACACTCACACACTCTGCTGATCTCTCTGTGTGCACTCAAACTCACTTGATTGGCATGTTCCTAACAAATACCTGCTTTTATACATCTTTCCACTTTCAGTCTGCCTTTCTAATAAGTTTAGTTAGTGGCAGAGCTATTTTTTTATAGTCTTTAATAAAGTGTCAATAGAAGTTTGCAAACTCTAAAAAGAATTGCAGCTCTCTCTTCTTAGTTGGAGTGAGCCATTCTTATATGCCTGTCATCTTTACTGGGTCTATTCATAACTTCTCTTCAGCAATGATGAGCTCAAGGTACTTGGTCTCCAAGGTTTCAAATTCACATTTTTCTGGCTTTAGGTATAGTTTGTTCTTCTGTAGGATCTACAACTCTTGTCACATAGTGTCTTGATGCTCTTTGAGTGTTATTGAGAAAATCATTATATTGTCCAGATAGATAGTGATTTTTCTCTAAGTAATAAGGTCTTGAAAGACATTATTCATCATGGTTTGGAAAGTGGCAGGAGAATTAGTAAGTCCAAAAAACATTACTAGTAGTTCAAACAGCTCTTGATTGGTTCAGAGCACTGCTTTCCACTTGTTTCCTTCTTTGATTCTGATGTTATTGTATCTCTACCAGACATCCAGTTTGGTGAAGTACTTGGCTCCTGATAGCTTGTCTATGAGCTCTGAAATTAGTGGAAGCAGATAATGATTCTTGATTGTCATGATTTTTGCCCCTAAATTATGACCTGCCAATGCTTAGTAAGCAGATGCTTACCAATCCCAACCTCAGGCTGACCTTACAAAGAATGATGAAGATATGATGACATTATGGCTACACCTTATTTATTGACACACAATAGATGATAAGAAACAATGTAGTAACTGTCACTATCCCATGTCTTGAATATAATAGAAACTGCAGCATATAGAAAACTCACCATAGTGATAGTATAGCAGAGCAACAATGATGAACAAAAGTAAGAGCACAGTTATTGTTATCTCAGACAATGAGCAGAAGGCATGGAAAGCAGATAATAGTTGCCTGTAGAGCATAGGATTCTTTAGACAGTATTTAAGGCAGTAGTACACAGTGATATATCCCAGTCTTGAGCTAAGGTTTAATACATCTGCTAAACTCTCTGACTACCTGGTGTGAATACTCTTGCCACAATAGCAGACTATATCTACCAGCCACAACCTTTTATCTCTCTCTGCAAAATTCTTATAGCCTATCTCATCATCCTTATCATACTTTTATACTGAAATCAGACCCAGACTCAGAATCCAGACTTGGATCCTGGCAGAAGCAGTGCTAGACATTTGTGAGTGTTTAGTAGAGGCCTAATAATTAGCTCAAGACTTCACATGCTCTGGTCTGATGGCATTTTGCTAAGGACTAGCATATAAAACTCACACTCAGAAACATCATCATCACCTCTATTGCAGATGCTTGCTTGTTCATTGCAGTAACTGGAATTATCAGATATCATGTTGTATGATTACTAAGGGAATAAAGAAGAAGAAGAAGAGAACTGGAGGAGTGGGAGAGCTGATGAAGAGTGGATCTCCTCCATCAAGCCCTCCAACCAGTGCTCTATGCACTCCCAAGTCAGGAGAGCATCATTGTCTGGCCACTGGCCCCAGAATCCACTGACATCAGCAGCACAGATTATATCATCCAATCTTCAGGACTTGGAAGTGTATAAACTAGAGAAGGAGGAGTTGAACCCCCCTCTCTCATTATCTAACTAGCCATCTCTGACAAGAGAGAGTCAGTATGAGAGGATGATGGCCATACAAGCTGACCTCCAACCAGAGATGTGGCTGCCTCTACTGCTGACTACTACTGAGGGCATACACCAGAAGCCCTCTCTGGGCTTTACTCTAAGCAGGTGGACAAGTCCAGCCTCATGGCCAGCATGCTCTGAAGCCCTTCAATTCAAGAGCAGAACATCAGCCAGATTGTCCTTGGCATTAATGCATACAGCCTCAGAGGGAGCAAGCCTCAGTTCACTAAATCAGGAACAGTGGACTTATATGAGCCAGACAGGGGATATGAATATATCCTCAACTGATGAATCTGCCTGGACATTATTGACAGCTCAGAGAGCAGCAAATGGCAGACACCTGCTGGTTAGGCACCAGCAAAGGACTCTGATATCTTGCACTGCTGGAGCATACCAGAGATCTAGTAGACAGAGCATGGGTGGAAACTAGAGTAGCAGAAGTAGTACAGAATGCCAAGGGGTGCTGGAAGCCCCCATTTTCTTTCTCTTACTATGCATCTGAATAATCACTATCAGCAGGAAGTAGCCTAAGTAGTTGGGCAAGCCAAAATCTTTTCTGGCAGACTCCCTAGCAAGTCCTGGCTGCACCCATCCATCTATTTGCTGGAGCAGGGCCCAAAGATGCCAGACCCCCAGCCTTATTGGCATCCTCTGGCAAAGGAAAAGAGAGGAAAGAGCCAACAGTGCCATTTCCCCCACCCCCTGAAGAACTGCCAGACCATCCTTGGTATGACCAGAGGCTGCAGTTCTTGCCTAGGCCAAAAAAACCAGCACTACCATTGACACTGCCACCACCACTGCTAGACACTCCACCTCCATAAGAACCTGAGACCATAGAACCTGGGGAAATCTGAAGCTGACCATTGCTCAAGAACCTGTGCTGTTCAAAGAAGAAAGCCTAGACCTAAAGCACTTCTTCCAACAATGCAAAGCATATTTTGAAGTATACAACACCTATTTCTCTATGAACTCTGCCAGATTTAGCCCTCACTGGGTGATATTCTGCACCACCTGGTTTGAAGGCACAGCACAAGAATGGTGGAGCCTACAAGAGCAGTATTTTTATGACTCAATCACTGAGTGATGGAGATATCCCTCCTATCCATGGTTTAAGGAAGCTGTACAAAAATGATTCAAACTAGATGCAGAACAGAAAGTCCATGCAGCCAAATGGTGGGTCTTACAGCAGACCAACTTCAGTCTGACCCAATCTCTGCAATACTATTGCCCATGGGGACAATGATTTTCTCTCCATCTATAACAAGTGGAACAGAAGGATTTTGTGGATGGACTACAATTATCAAATCAACACTCTTGGACATGAGGAAGTAAAAGCCACCATGAGTGGAGGAAAGGCTGTCAATGGTGGGTCAGCCCCAAAAGGGATGACTACAAATGACAAGAGGATAGGAACTGGAACTGTGCATGGTGGTCAGGGGCAGCTGATGGATATAGATGCACTCTGAAAAGAAGAAAAGTGCTTCAACCATGGAGAAAAAGGGCATTTATCTTGTGCTTGCCTGAAACCCTACAATTCTCAGCCTCAAAGATCAGCCTCAAATGCTGCATCAAGCAGTCAGCTTCCTGCCTCATGCAATATTCATGAGATAAAGTTTTCAGATGATGAATGGAAGCAATTGAGTCAGATATACCAGGTATTCCTACCAATCCTAGACTATCAACAATAGTAACAGAAAAGAACATACAATGGTCAAGTCATACATTGCAACCAATACATATCACAGTAAATAACTTATCTGCAGCCAAGAATTATCTTCTCCTGCCTCCCCTCCCTTCCTGCCCCTCCTCCGTATATAGTATTGATCCACTCCTACTAGCGGTCCGCTCCACAATTGATGTCCCATCCCTGAACCTTGCTCTGAACAACACATTTGCATTTGTAAACAATCCCTCCTTCAATGACACCACAATAAACTGCGACCCCTTGAACCGTGTCCGGAATAGATGCCCGATATGCTGCGTATGTGACAGATCCAGTGCCGCGTCGATCTCATCAAGGATGTACATTGGAGCAGGTTTGAATTGGAGCAAGGCCATGATAAGCGACAGAGCGATGAGGGATCTAGATGAACGTCAGATCCACGTAAACAAGGGAATGTATTCTTGCAGACCTCTGTCCTCCACTCAGCTCCGTCAAGCTTTGCTTCCACACCATGCCGAGCTGGACTTTGACTTCTAGGCCCTCAGTCATGTCGAGGCCTTCAGGCGGTTGGAGCTTGGCGTAATTTCCTGGCAGGAGCTCTCGGAAGATGTCGCCAAAATCTCTGGTGTACGACATCAGCATTGCGGGTCAATGGAATGAGTAGCCGAAGGACCTACTTAGACACCTTTGTCCACGTATTCTGAAGTGCATCCCGCTTATATCGATCGAGCTCCTCGATAGTCTGTTCAATCTTCTTCTTGTCGCCCAGCACCGTTTCAAGCATGTTTTGTAGAGATAACTCCCTCTTCTCAACGCTACAAGGCCTAATTAGCCGACCAACAGGGAACAAATACGAAAAGGCTAACTCATCAATCATATTCACCACCTTATAATTGACTTTCTTCCTCTGCACCTTCTGCTTGTTCTCCAGCTCGATCACCTCCTCCCTGAGCTTGCCCATATCACACTGCCGAAAGTCATACTTGCCTCCAGGCCTGTTGAACTGACTAGAGATGGGAGACATGTCAGCTCAAGCTCCCAGAGAATAAGCAAGGCCTACTCGTGCTCCTGCAAAATCCACTCGTAATTTTTCTCCGAAGAGTCAACCTGATGGACCGCAGCTTTTCGCTCCTTCTCCAGATTCTGTATCGCATGGTCCAACTTGGTTAAATCAGCATCAGCACCAACGAGTGCTTTCTTCTTCGCCCTGATGACCCCTTCGAGCTCCTTCAGTTGACCGTCAAACCGGGAGAGCGTCGCCCGTTCTTGTTCAAGCTCCTGATATGCCGTCTCATAGGATTTCTATTTATAACGCTTAGTCGATGTCGACCAAAAAAGCAATGTGATCAAAGCACCTGTTCATCCGCAACGTGCTGGACAAGTTTCTCAAGCTCCTTTCGTAGCTTATCACCACCGGCGACAACTTCCTCTAGTGTGGCCTTCGAAGTGTTGATATCGATTTGCATTTGCTCTGCCGTGACCATCAGCATTTCTTCGTTACAGTAGGAATAAAGATAACAGACGCAGCTCCAGCATCGCAGTTTGCAGCTTCTTTTGCGTTTCTTTCACCACAACAGCATGCTTCTGTAGCACCGCCTTTTGCTTCTGAATACCGGCCTAAAACAATACATTAGCGAAACACCGCGCTGCAAGGGCCATTGCAAATCACCACCTTTAGTTCGTCGATCTTGCCATCTTTGTTATTCTTGAACTCATCCATATCGCGTTGAAGCTTCTTGCATTGCTCGTCGGCTGTCTTTTGCTTCTCCTTCGCATCGTGGACGTTCTTCTGCAGCGCTTGAATGCTTTGTGATAGCGTCTTGATATCGTCCTCGAGCTACATACACAGTTAGGCTCAACTCGCTTGAGAATGAGAAGCACAAAATCTTACTCTACCAGCGGTACTTCCCCCAACTTGGCGTTCCAACAACTGTAATTCGTGCTCTTTCATCTCAATCTGCCTCTCCAAAGCCTTCCAATCTTCCCTCTTCTTCCGGTTCTTCTCTCCATCCGTCTCATGCACCACCAACAGGCCTTGAACATCAGCTAGCTTCGCTTCCGCCTCGATGAGCTCCTGCACCCTCAACAACACACCACTACTCTGCGACGCAGACCCTCCGCTCAACGTCCCCGAAGGCTCGTACACATCACCCTCCAACGTCACAGTGCGCGCTCCAATCTCCTTGTTGAACGTTACAGTCTTCGCCGTCTGAGCGTCCTCGCAGACGAAGGTGCTTCCAAACGCATACGCCATGGCATTCTTCACTTCGTCAGGGTAGCCAACCAATGAGAGCGCAACCTTGGCCTTTCCCGCGACGAGCTGTTCTACCCGAGAGACCTTTTGGGGAGGGACTGAAGAAGGCTGGATCTGGTTGAGAGGAATAACCGTCACTTTCTTTCTAAGGTTCCCGTTTGTCAGTAGATCCTTGCCGACTTTCTCGTCCTTGACGACGACATTGTACAGCCGTCCACCAGCTGTAGCCTCCAAAGCTGCGGCCTTGTTGTAGTTTCCCTTGGCGAGCGAGACCAGTGTCGCTAGACGACCCTTAACGTTCTGCCGGTCGAAGTTGGGTGGTGCCTGGTAATCAAAGTCGAGCCCTCCTAGATTCTGCTTGACGTAGTCGCGTCTCTGTTCAAACAAAGTCACAAAAGTATCATTCACAGAGAAAGACGACTTACGTCGATGAGTTGACGAATAAGTGCCTTTAGGTCCCTAAGCTGGCTCTCGAAAGTCTCCTCCATCTCTCTGTTCCATCCGCATTTTTCGGCTTGCCGCCTATATCGCTCGAGGTCTGTCTTGAGTGCTTGGATCCTCCGCTTGCCTTCCCCCGCGTCGCGTTCAACCTCCTTCCACCGATTTTGTCGATCCTTGAGATCCTTCTCCTGCATCGACAACGTAATTCTGCTCTGTTCTTCCTCTGCTCGTGCCTGAGCACCCCTGGCTCGCGCCTCCGCAATCTGGCCTAAATAACCCCCGCCGTTAGTATTTGTACGGTTCGAAGAAAGCCCAGTCAATAATGACTGCAGCAGCTCTTCATCGGATGTAAGCTTTTGCTGAATCTTTGAGTGGACGTCCTTGACGGTGGTATGTTCAGCCGTAATCTTCTCCACTTCGGTCTGCTGCTGGGCTAATGAAGCTTCAAGCTGGTTACCGTCAGCTCGGCGTCTCTCAAAAGACTGAAAAACATACCCGCCGTATCTCGTCTTTGGCATTTTCGGTGCTCTTGTCATCATCCATGATAGAGCTCTCCTTTAGCTGAACTTGCGTTCGCAGCTTGGTGAGCTCCTTGTCCAGCTCAACTACGTCTCCCTCCAACTTGCTTAGCTTGCCGCCCTTTCGCATCTCAGCATCCTTCTTCTTCTGCACCTCGGCAGCATCTTCCTCGGCAGCCTTCAAATCTCGTGTCCCCTTCTTTTTCTCATCCTGCCGCGTCCTGACCTCCTCTCGCTTCTGCTCAGCCTCTTTCTCCTTCGAGTCGACCCTCTGTTTCGCATCGTGCCACTCTAACGCGTGCAGCTTCTTCCCAAGAAGCTCTAGCTGTTCTACAGCCTTCTGGTAGTCCAGGAACGCCTTCTTCTCCTTCCGAAGCTTGTCAAGCTTAGGTGCAATTTCTTCCTGCAGCACCGCAGTGATTTCGTCAACGCGTTTCTCCTTTTTTGCCATTGTCTTCTTTGCCTTGTCCTTTCGATCCTCAAACATCCGCGTTCCGGCTGCTTCCTCGACCATGCCCAAAATCTCCTGAGGCTTCATATTGAGCACCTTGGTGATGCGCCCTTGCATGATGACGAAGTTGGGGTTATTGATGTTGAGCTGGACGGACTGGAAGAGATTTTGGATGGTTTGTTGAGGAGCTTTGTGACCGTTGAGGAGGTATTTTGAAACGTTGGGAAGCGCCACCTAGTTCTTATTAAAAAGGCCTGTATTATAACAACGCCACGCACCTGACGAGTAACGGTAATCTGCTTTTGATCCTCCAGCCCAAGGGGACTCTTGGAGCGGTCTGAGTTGTCGAAGACGATAGTGACGCTTGCTTTTGTGACTCCTGCTTGTCCGCGCTTGTATATGAGGTCTTGCTGGTTTGCCGCACGCATCTGCAACCTCGTTGGGTCACAAAGACAACAAAGAACGCCAGTCTACGCACCACGGACATGTTAGTTATCCCAAGCACAAACGCAATCGCGTCGAGAATGTTTGATTTCCCGGATCCATTGAGCCCAGTAATCGCGTTGAAAGACGGGTCCCAGCCAGTAATTTGGGTTCGAACTGGATAGGACTTGAATCCTTGACATAAAAAAGTCAGGAAGCACCACAACATTTCCGGGAAAACCCCCCACCTTCCAGGACGAGTTCTTCTATCCGCATCGTTGGTGGTCGCGAAAGGTTGAAATGAGGGCGTTACTGTCACTCGCATCGTCACCGGCGCGTCTATCATGTGACCCATGCCGGACTTCGGAACCTGCCGAGTCCCGGGCAAAGTGGAAGCACAGCCACCCGCAGTGAGCCTGACGCCATTTCACTCCCACAGCCAGCATGCAACACTTTGGAAAGAGTGTTATCCGTGTCACCAAAAATTATACGAAGGGTTACTCTGACACACAGGCAAAGGTCCGTGATGCGACCAGCAACGATCCTTGGGGCCCCAGTGGCACGCAAATGAACGAGATAGCCCAATTGACATACAATCAGTCAGTGGATCTGCTATCCGTAGAACCTGAACGTAACATCTGTCATACAGAAATGATTTCGTGGAAATAATGGAGATGCTCGATAAGAGGTTGAATGACAAGGGCAAGAATTGGCGGCATGTATTCAAGGTGAGAGGGGAACCCTCCGCCATCTCTTGCTTGTTGTTTGCTAATGCGATGGCCAGAGTCTCACTGTGCTTGACTACTGTCTTCACCAAGGTTCCGAAAATGTCGTCATCTACTTCCGTGACAACGTCTACATAATCAAGACCCTCAAGGAATTCCAATACCTTGATGAAGAAGGGAAGGACCAGGGCGCCAATGTGCGTCAAAAGGCGAAGGACATCACTAGCTTGTTGCTTGATGAGGGTCGACTGCGCCAAGAGAGGAGGGCCCGGGCGAGCATGCGGGACCGGATGATACGCGGTGCTGGAGGCGACTATGACGAACCCGACGACGATGTCGATGAGAACCGCCAGCGCCGTAGTCTGAATAGCAACCCACCGAATAGGAGGAACGGGGATGAGGACGATCTGAGAAAAGCCATTGAAGAGAGCAAGCGGACATTGGCGCAGGAGCGGATCACCGCTGAAGAGAGGGACCTTCAGGCAGCCATCAAACTTAGCGAAGAGGAGGAGGAGAAGCGGCATAAGGCCGTTGAAGACTCCAATTCTTCTGCGCTTTTCGATGACCAGAATCAGCTGTTAGCATCCTTTTTTTGTCTTTCCTTTTCGTTAAACTCACTTCTTGCCCAGGTCTACGCCCATCAGCAACAATCCCTTCCCAATGGGCAACATGAGCGACCCTACGCCGTATACTATTGGTCTACAACCCCAATTCACGCAAATTCAGCCACAGTTTACCCAAATTCAGCCACAATTCACTGCGTTCAATCCATATCAGCAACAGGCTCAGGCTGAGCAAGAGGTAAAGAACTTTTTTGTCTGTCGATATTAGGGATATCCTGACGGCGTTTGTCTAGATGCTTATGCAACAGCAATTTCTCTTACAACAGCAGCAGCAAGCGCAAAATGACGAGTGGATGAGACAGCAATTGCTATTGCAGCAGCAGCAGCAGCAGCAGCAACAACAACAACAACAACAGAATGCGTTCATGCAACAGCAGCAGTCAATTATGGCGCAGCCGACTGGCTTTGGGTGGGTTCTCCGTATGTCATGCCAATTGGACCACTAATGAAGAATGCTTCAGGTCGAACAATCCCTTCGCACCTTCTCCCAGCCACTCTCAACCTAGATCTTCGCCCTCTCCTCATCCTACGCCTCAGTTTAACCTTCAAGGCACTTATGCCAACAACAACCAGAATGTTGACCTCTCCTCTTTCAATCACCATTTAAACTTCTCTCCATCTCCCGGACCATCGCCTATCAATAATAAGCCCACTGGGCCTGTGGTCAAATCCCGGCCAGATGAGAACGAACACTTGGCAAATCTTCTCGCAAACCGGGACGATGGTCAGGACACGTTCGGTAATGTAGGCGCGTTAAGATACGGTCAGGCAAGGATAATGTCTAAGCAGATGACGGGGCATAATCCTTTTGCGAAACAACAGCAACAGGATGAGCAACCTTTCTTTAGTGTTTGAGCCGCGAAGCAATTCATGACGATTGATCTGCGGTGGAAGTGGAATTAGTGTATATGTTTCTTTTCTTTCCCTGACCATTGCCGTCCTACTATGGTACCTTTATTTTAATTTTTAAAACGTAGTTGGCTCTCCTGAAACAGAGGAATCAAACTTCTATATCATTAAATCTAGAGCTTCCATACATTCCGATACTCAAACGTTGGGCATCCTGGCTCCGACGACTCTATTATGCTCTTTGTGAACCCAGCTTCTTGCTTCTCTAGCGCTTCCTCGACACTCAAAATATCGGCATCAACCAGAGAAAGGGTTTTCTTCAGATATGACAACATCTCCGCCAGGACGGCGCTCTCAGAGAATGGCAAAGTGCGATGGAACGCCGTCTCTGCGCCAAACTGTTGTATGCGTTTCTAGATGATGATGAATCAGACATCAGACTGGACCTGTAACCTAGAAGCCTTACCTTGAAGCCCTGTATGAACGGCATAGCCCTCTTATCCTTAATCAGCCCTTTCTGTATTAACAGCTCCTTCACCTTGGCATCATTGAACTTGTCTGATTTTTCAGCGTAGACCTCCCGCAGGATGCCAACACACGTATCCTGCCATTCAGGGAAAGATTTCGCCACGTATACTCTGACACTTTTTGGTTTCTTTGGGTCAAAAGTCTGCTGAGACTTGCCCCCCTTGCCGCCCTTGTTCAATTTGGCTAGCATCTTCAGCAAACTCGTCTCAGCATCTCGAATCATTTTGGTCGTGCCGCGCATATACTGCCCCGCTTCGATGAGTGTCCTATCAACAGGTTTCGAGGGAGTAGGCCACAAGGCGAGTTGTATCGACGTCGGATTCTTGAGGATCGCAGAGTGGATGTGTTCAGCAAAGTGAGGTGCAATTGGAGCGATGAGCAAGGAGGCGATTTGAATCCAGTACTTGATGAGATCCCCGTGCATACCGGTGTCAACGGTAACTTCTCGATACCAATCCCGCACGCCTTGGAGCTCGTAAAAGCCGTATTTTAGAGCATCCTTGTAGTTCGTTGCTGCATAATGACTTTGGGTAATATTGATCAGATCGTTGATTTCTTCTTCGAACACCCGGTCGTGATACAGCTTCTCGCCGTGCCGAAGGTTCTTCTCGTCCTCTATCATTTCCTCACACCATGCCAGCAAGGTGTGCACCCGCAGGATGTTAGCATTCGCTGTCTTCTCCTCAAAATTCGCATCTTCGATGCCGTCGCCAGCATCCGCCAAACTAAGCCGTGTCGCGTCTGCGCCAAACTTTTCCGTCGCCTCCCTGAGAGTCAAAGAGTTTCCGGTACTCTTACTCATCTTCTTTCCGTTCAGCATTAGATGACCATTTGTGCGCATGCTCAAAGGCCACTTGTCCTCGGGGAATAGTGCGACGTGGTTGTACAACGCAAAGGTTAGGTGATTGCCAATAAGATCTTTCGCAGACGACCGTATGTCAAACGGATAAAAGTAGTTGAATTCGTGCTTCAAAGCGTCGGCTTTTCCTTGGGGCATGGGCGCGGGATTAGGCCAGGGACCATCGCAGAAGACATACTCCCAGATCTCATCCGTCATCTGGTCGGGTTTGATGCCCAGAGGACCCGGTTTCGAGCCATCGATACTGTTTTCTACGTGACGATCAGAACGAGATGTTTGAACCGAAAAGTGCGCTTACCATGCAGCAACTGCGCCACAGTATAATAACTCATGTAGATAGTGGAGTCACTCAGACTCTCTACCATGAAGTGAGGGTCCCAGGGCAAGTCCGAACCGAGGCCGTACGTCCTAGCACAAGCCCACTTGTTCAGCCAGGCTAATACCTTTTCAAACGCATTCCTCGTCTCGTGTGTGTACATCTCCATTCTGGCAACCAGCCTCTCCGTCTCTGCTCGCCAGGAAGGTTCGCCGTAATCAATATACCACTGGTCCATCAACGCAACGACACAGTCGTCGCCACTCCTCGAGGTAACAACGCCTTCGGGCTCTGCGTACGCAAACGCAAGACCCTCAGCAATCATATCAGCCCTCGCCTTAGGTTTAGCGTCCTGCACCGTCTCACCCTTATACTTGCCGATGAGCATGACGCCACTATAAAAGCCCTCCTTGTACGCAATTTCCTTTGCCTCCGCGAGCTGCTTCGTATCCTTCTGGCTGTTAATTTTTAGCTTCTTAACAACCTCGGCAGCAACCATATCACCATAGCTCGTCTTGATCAACGGCACGGCTTCGCGACCCGCTAGCCAGTCGGGATTGACCCCGTAGTACTCAGGCTTTTTCCTGAGATCAGCGACGGTGACCCAGTCGTCAGGAGAATCGGAAGGGACACTGGTAACTACTCCGGTACCCTTGGTTGCCAGGACGCCATCCATCGGTAGGACATAGACGCCCTGGGTGTACACGCTGTACGGAGCGCTCACTTTCGTACCAACGAGATCCCGACCCTCTATTTCTGAAAGCTGCTCGATAACGCCATGTTCTTTGGTAATCTTTTGGAATGTCATGTTCCTCATGGCGCGATGTGTGCATAGGAACGCTTCCGCATCGTTGACTGCATACACGCCGTACTTGAGATTTGTACCCACGAAGCAATTTGTCTGACCGTACCTAATGGCGAGTTAGAAAGTAAGAGTAAAGAATGATGAAGCGTACATGGTCTCCGGTCTCAAGGTCGCCGCCACCATATACACCTTTCTCCCGCCGACCTTGCTTTTAATGGCCTCTGCGTTTGGTGCCCACTCTAGAACCTCGAGCTTGATGCCTGTGAACTCTTGCGGGCCCACACCCTCGCCATCCTGACGATCATGATCCATACACGGTTGACCGTCCTTCTCGCTATATATGGTATACCTACAAGCCCATTCGCATTCTTTCTTCAAAAACATCACAAAGACTTACCTTTCGCCAAATTTAATTCTATTCTGTTTATGCAGCTTGTTCACTTGCCATCTCACGAACGCATCATAATACGGGTTCGCCTGGGTCGTCAAAAAGCGACGTCTCCAGTCAATCCGCGAACCAAAGGCATTGTTGTCCTGGATTGCGATGGGAGGGAAATACTCCAGCCAGTACAATGGGTCCGCAAACTTGCTGATTTCGGATTTAGGTATTCCGATACTCTCCATAATTTGGAACTGATATGTATGGCCCGTGGATTTTGCCTGAAGCTTGCCCTTCTTTGCCTTGGACTTGTCGACAGCAGCAGGATCCCTAGCTTCCTCCTCGTTCTCTTTGGCCTCCTTTTCGGCCTCCAGTTTTGCTTGTACCTCGCCAAAGTTTTCAAATTCCCTCCCGAAAAGACTCATCTCCCGGATGATCTTGTCGGAACTGGCCTTGATGGGCAGGCCGGTGACATGGAAGCCATGGGGAAACAAGACACGTTTGCCAAGCATGCGTTCATAGCCTGCCGCGAACTCGATTTTGCTGATAGTGAATGCATGTCCGAGATGGAGAGAGCCGTTCATGTAGGGAAAGGGAAAGTTGCCGAACCACTTGGGAAATTTTTCATGTATTTGCTCCTTGGACAAGCCCGCAAGTTCTACAGGCGATGGTGCATTGACTTCGAAGAGCTTTTCGGACTGCCATTTTGCCTGGTATTTCTTCTCGAGATCGATGAGGTAGTCCCGCTTCGCAGTCTGTGCGAGCTCGATGGTATTGGACATGGCAGAGAAGGTGCGAGATAGGGTGCAAGGTCGCGTCACCAATGAGCGTGGCAGGAGCGTAGTCGAAAGGGAATCGCCTAAATCAGGAGAGCCTGATTGTCGGCGTGTAAAGCAAAGACGAAATCGATCAACAAAAAATTCGAGTCACCTGGTCATACCCGAAGTCAGATCAATCACGGACCTGGAATCCCGAATCTAATCTTATCTTCCTCATTCATGCTCAGTCGTTTAAAATTACAGGTTTTGCTCTCTGGAAAGCCCTTCGACAATTCCCTGTATCGTGCATCCATGAGCGGTTCGTATTCTGCTCCATTGGCTTCATTACCACACTCATTTCGCCTAGCCGCAACTGAAACAGCCACCTTTGCTTCCGGATGCTTCTGGGGCGTGGAGCACATATTTTTGAAGCACTATCCTCCCGCCCAGGGCAAAGGAATCGTAAAGACAAGCGTCGGATATACTGGTGGCAAGGAGACCTTTCAAAATCCGAGTTATAGGGAGGTGTGCTCTGGCGAGACGGATCATGCAGAGGCAGTAAAGATTGAATTCGATCCTGCCATTGTCAAGTACGATGAGCTTGTTGGTGCGTCATGGATATATCTACCAACCAGTTCCCTAGTGACAATAGCTCACAGAGTTCTTCTACCGCACCCATGACCCTACCACAGCGAACAGGCAGGGCGCAGACACCGGCACCCGTATGTCTCTTACACCCTCCTCTCCTCTCTTTATTCAGACCACTATCATAGAATATCGCTCAGCCATATTCACGCACTCGCCGGAACAAGAGACGATCGCAAAGCGAGTAACGGAGCAAGTGCAGGCCAAGCACTTCACTCCCAAAGGGAAATCGATTGTCACGGAAATTCTCGAGGTAGGGCCGTGGTGGGATGCAGAAGAGTATCATCAGCTATATTTGTTCAAGAATCCCAGTGGGTACCAGTGCCCAACCCATCGTCTGCACTGGTGATTCCTGTTTAAATAAATGTGCCTTTGTAAACATAGTGTACCAATATGTACCAATACGTTTCGATACATATCCTCATTTCCTTTTTCGTCTCTTACCATCATCCCTTCCCTTCGTCCGATTCCTCCTCTGCCATGCTCGACGAACATGATGGTGAAAGCGATGCTAGCGGGTCCTATGATTCGGACGCGAGCAGCTCCGGTGATGAGAGCGATGGAATTGAACAAGCCGTCCTCAGTCCAGAGGAAATCTTTGCCGAAAGAGAGATCGAAGGCGACTTTGAGTGCGCCCATTGCTTGTTACTTTCCCGCAGGTATTCACCTCATACAGTCGTCTAGTAAAGAATATTCAGCGAAGCGATGCCCCCGGCCTAACTAAAGATTGGGATTTCAATATCGAAGACCGCGACGCTGAATTTCGCGATGATTTGAGGGCAGCGTCAGGCATCGGTCGTAGGCATAAAAAGGTTAGTGTCTCTTCAACTTACTTATACGTTGATGAATAATTCTCGAAACCAGAAAGGACGTGCTGCAGGTCCTGTTCTATCCCAACAAGTGAGATCTCTCATTGGGGACGGTAATCAGGCATATGTCGACAACAACCTTCCCGAGGCCATACGTATAACGCAAGAAGTCATTCGTATCGAACCACGTACCGTCTCTGCTTGGTCGGTGTGGGCCCAGTGTTGTGCCGACATGAATCAAGAACATAGGGCTCTTCAGCTTCGCATCATGGCTGCTCATCTAAGACACGATGCTGAAGAATGGGATCGATTGGCACGACAGTCCAAGTAAGTCGCTCTATTGTGAATGTCTTCTCTTCATTGCTTATTTTCCGCAGAGACCTTGGCTATAACCAGCAAGCATTGTACTGTTTTCGGAAGGTGTACAGTCTTGATCCATCAAACATCGAAGCTCTATGGGACCGTGCTACGCTTGCTAAGGACACTGGAGATTTAAGAACTGTTCGTGTCCTTTCTCGTGCTTGCCTTGCTCCGTGCCTAACCTTTAATAGGCCCGCATTGCATACAAAGCTATTCTCAAGCGCTTTCCCCACGATTTGACGGTCCTAGCAGAACTCAGGACCATCCTTATCGAACTCTCTGATCTCACAACATGTGCCTCTCTCTTTCAACAAGCATTTGACCATTACCAGCAAATGTATCCCTCAGGCCGTGGACCTTCCCCTTCATCAACTAGCGAAATTTCCGGTGGTGGATATGGCTTAATGGAAGTGCTCGTACTAGCTGATCTATATAACACGCTCGGCGAATACGAGAACGCCGTTGACGTTATCCGGAAAGGATGTCGATGGCTTCAAGGGCGTGCTGACCAGAGATATTGGGATGTCTGTGACGACGACAGAGAGTATGATCTACCGGACGTCGATATACCGCGACGTGCAGGTGGTACCGTAGATCCAGGAAGGTATCGTCTCGACGTGAACGCCAGACACCGTCTTGCTATTGCCAGAATCAAGATGGGCGAGGCGGAAGAAAGCAAGGCGAGATTATAGTGTTTTTTGTTTTCAGCGGCACATTTTTGATCTACAAACTAGATGCATGCCGATATTATTCTGAGCGAAGACGTCCTTGATTACGCTGCCTTGTTTGTGGAGATTGCCGACGCGTACTTTGAACGAGAGCTATATGCTGACGCTCGCCCTATCTACGAACTTTTGGGCGCAGACGCTAGCGTGAGTCAATATTCTTCGTTGAGTTTAGTTTTTAATAGCACCCTCTAGACAAGTAGCCTTTATGTTCTCCTTCAAACAGCTGCTTGTCTTCGAATGTTGGATGAGTTGCGTGAAGCAGTCGAAGTATATGAACATAGTATGCTATCTTGCACTGAGATGCAATTTGAAATTAACGCCCAGCAGTCAAGCTTGCTGACCCCACACATAACGAAGCCAAAATGAAGCTCGCTGAGATCTATGAAATTTTGAATGAACCGAGAAAAGCACTCGAGCTGGTCTACGAAGGTACGGATCATGTAATTCGTTTGTAATAACACTTATCACTATTTCAGTCATTGATTCGCGCAAAAAGAGACCAAAGGACAAGACAGTGACACAGGCCGAGGATACAGCGACCGCCTCTTTGTTCCCTGAAGAAAAGGCACAGTTAAGAAATAAACCCCTCACTGTCAAAGCCCAAAACCGATTAACGCATGCCCAGTTGCGAGAACTAGAGGTCGAAAAGGAGAAAGAAATCGTTAGAGGATACCGACGATTGCAAGAGGTATGGGCGAAAATGATGGAGGGTGACGACATTGTGGAACGAGAATGGATGGTTGAGGCGGAAAAAATGGTTGAGACATTTAGAGAGACGCGGAATTTATTCATGACTAGTAGGGTGAGGTTGATATTCTGCTTCTCGTGGCTTTACCAGCTCAGCGGTGATGAAATTAGAACAACCCATTCCGAGGAATGTTTCCCCGACGACCCAAGAAACAGAGAGACCACGAAGACGAGGATCGTATGGTTTCACGTCTCCATCTTGACCTAGGTAGAGTGATTTTCCTTTTGGTAACCTAGGTGAACCCAAGACTTTCATGTCTAGAGAACGACAGTATGGCCAAGAAAGCGTCAAGGAGCGACAAGAAGGACGAAAGAGTAGATATATTTCGTGGCGTCTCCTTTGATAATTGGTTGCGTGTGTTCATGCAGGTTAGTTGCCGAATCATTGCAAGAAATACACAACGATGACTATCTGACTATCAATCATGTTTTCAGTACTGCTTCGTACTTACGAAGCGCGGACAGTATGATCTAGCAGATGAAGTGCTTCGTCACATTCTCTTATCAAATGCATACCAGTCGAAAGAGCTGCAATCCACCATTCGGCTTGCTTTACTTGGTAATCTAAAGTCTCGATCAGTAAATATCAAGTGCTAACTTCCCTTAAGCATGCGCCATTGCGTCAAAGAACTTTGTCGTCGTCGTCGAACTCTGTCGCAAGTTGATCAACGTTCATCAATTCAATAACGAGCCCTTACGTCTACTTCTTGCCACCCTATCAAGTGGTCTCCGCCCAACCGATGCTTTCATCACATCCACTTTGCAGAAACATCTGTTCCGGGAGATGAAGCTGGGAGACGCGGCTGTAAAAAACCCGGAAAGCCTACGATGGAACCAAGCTGTCAAGCGTCATGCCATTATAAACCAGGCCAAAGCTGAAGATGACGACATTGAGGATGAAGGTGGTGGTAACGCTGAAACCGATAATAGCAAGGGGCCAATACCTGAGTTACCCACGAAGCAGAACCCTGTCATCATAGCTATTTACGGACAGATATGTATTGCCGCGAAAAGTTACCAGAGCGCGATCTGTAAGCTCTTTTTTTCCTCATTCCCCACTGATCAAATGCCTACTATTATCCAGTTTACCTTCTGCATGCGTATGATTATTGCCCCGACGACCCCATGATCTGCTTGTCTCTAGCAATCGCATCTCTGGGTCGTGCCATGCAACGACAATCAGATAATAGGCACCATTTGATTGCACAGGTATCATCCTTATGACCGTGTAACTAACTATCGCACCTAACCCGCTCGTTGTATAGGCATTGGCCTTCCTATCACGGTATAGAGTCATTCGAGGAGCCAACCTCCAAGGACAGAGTGAAGTCGAATATAACTTTGGACGCAGTTTTCACCAGCTAAGTACGTGCTGGGTGATGCTTATTCGGATGTATTCATTGCTCAATCGTTTCTCAGGTCTATACAGCTACGCTGCGAAACATTACGAACGAGTACTTCAGCTTGCGGAGCAGCGACCATCAGACTCGAGCGTAAGTGGTTGATCTCGGGGTATACTGTTCGCCTGTCATAACTTGAATCTAGGACGAAACATTTGCGAAAGAGGCCGCATATAACCTTGCTTTGATATATGTCATGACCGGCGCAACTCCACTTGCTGCTGCGTTGTATGACCGATGGCTATCGCTTTGACCCATATGCGCGAAATGGAACCAATAATAGCTGCACATCCTTGTACCATTGATCTTTGATTGACGAAATCCAAAACGAGTAAGATTCTTTCTGCAGTGGCTCATTGGCGCGTCGAACAGCATGTGATCGCGCGAAGGGAATTATTACAAGCGCGAGGCTAGCACTCTGTCTTTATTGCTTTCTGCAGATGAGGACGTACTTATGACTGACACTATCCCTCCGTGATATCCTGGAGGCGTTCAAAATCAACTGTGCATATTCGCCTCAGAATCGTGGCGAGGACGTGGAAATGTTTCACACATGAGGCATCAGGATGATAGACTTGTGATCAAGTGTTAGCAAGCTGTGCGTATACAGAACAATTCCAGCAAAGCATCATTTAATTCCTAAAGCCTAAGGGTAAGGAAGATCATCGAAAACTCACTTTTTTTAAAAAAAAAACACCTGCCATGCACAAATCTTAACATATAGCAGCAGCTCATACATGCAATTGATCAAGCGAGAATAAAAACAAACTTTGCTACAACCCAGGAATAGGCTACAGAACAATATCAAAGCTCGTTACTTGAGGCAAAAATGCTGAGCCAGCTAAATCAATAAGATGGACATCGTCAAAGGCCGTCATCCCGTTGTATCCACCAAAAAAGAAGAGTCGACTATCAGCAAGTACAGCGACATGATATCCCCGCTGGCTGGGTGGTCTACCATATATTGGTCGACTCTCGTACTGAAAGTTCACTGTCAGAATAAGGTTAGTACCCACAATAGACGAAAGGACACATTCAACTTGCCAAGGCTAAAGCATTTCACGTCAGACGTATATTCTGATCCGTCGTGCCCACCTTGAACGTAAAGATAAGTTCCCACTTGAGTTGATGTATGAGATAGTCGTTTGTAGGATTCGTTTTCAGGCAGGTCGATTAGAGTCCACTCAAATGTTTCTGGGAGATGTTTGAGAGGTCCATGAGATACAATAGTCGAAAGCGCTTACTGAGATTCAAAAACCAGATTTCTGCAAAACAGTCGGCTCCATCACTTCCGCCAATAATAATCATGAAATGGTCGGCAAGATTCGCAGTGTGGTATCCCCTAGGCGTTGGCTGCTTGTCTCCATGTGTCGTTATCTTCTCCCACCGCATTTCGGTCGTATTGGAAACGTCTAGTGTCCAGACATCGTTCAATGCGGTCATGCCATTTCCACCACCAAAGATCCAAACCTTGCCCTCGTAGAGAACGGCGGTGTGTGCTCTTCTCGGCGGTGGTATATCTCCCACAATTGTAGGGCGTGACCATACTCGAGTACTTGTGTCGAAAACATAGACACTATCGTAATAGGTACTGCCTTGTCCACCGCCATACACAACAATTTGACGATCAACGATGACGGCAGTATGAGCGCGTGAAGGAGGAGGTGCATCGCCGACGGTGTCTGGATGCGACCACTGCATCGTATCTGCCCGTTGCAAGTCACTCAAAAACGTCCGTGCACGAGAAGGAGAAGAGCTGCTACACACCAATGTCAAAGCAATACATATCCCGTGCCGTATCTTTATCATCACATCCTCCAAAAATCCAAGCAACATTATCCAGCAGCGTCACGCTGTGGCCTCGCATATTCCGTTGAGGTATGGCACCGTAAACCGGCGCACGACTCCAGTACATGACAGCACTAGGAGCGTCGTCTGCATCCCGCTCATGAGGTAAACGGGGCGTGCTTCTTATTCTAGGGATATTTCCGTTCCGACTAGCCTTGCCATCCTTCGTCGTTGCAACCGATGCCGCAGATACGTTCGAGAGTGTTCTCTTCGATGTCAGACTCTCAGCCGACACTCGCCCAAGACGTGAAGACGACTTTTTCAGACTTGCCGAACGACTCGACGACGACTTGCTGCTCGAGCTTGAGGGGTGCAGTGCGGATGTTGAGGCTGTTGCAAGACTTGAGGAGTCGAAATAAGGAGAATTCGAGGATGGCGGCATGTAAGGCTCCTCTTCGGGTACATCATGCAGGCTGCGAACAGTGCTCATCGTCGTCGTCGTCTTCGCCGTCGGGTTCGGTATCAGGAGCAAGAACGATGAGGACGGCTGTCAAAGGTGATGGTGACGGGCAGACGCGAACGGGCTTACAACCCTGAACAAGTTATTGTGCCCCACGTGCCCAACAGCGATCAGCACCACTACCCTGAGTCAAACTAAAATACAATTATCCCAATCGATACAATATACACTATGTAATGGCAATCAGAGAAGCATGACTATCGTTAGAAATTACTGCCAGGAGAACCGGCTGCCCTATTAGCATCAATGACATCGTTCAGTTGGTGACTTCTCCTCTGTGCTAGATCCAACTGCCGTTGCAGGGCCCTACAACCCTTCATTAGAAAGATCAACAACGAAGAGAACAAAACACTCACTTGATATTACTCTCCAGTTCCGCAACTCTTTCCTTACCGCCCTGTCTTTCTCTCTTTACCCTCTCTTCAGCAGCCTTCAGCCGCGTCTCGTACTCCTTCACCCTTGCCTCCCACTTTGCGTCTGCCGCTGAGCTCTTCTGACTCATCTGTGCCATCTTCTCCTCTGTTGCTAATAACTGATTCTGCGTATTGTTCAGCCGTCGTTCAGCATTCACAGCACGCGTGCTCAGGGAGCGCATTTCCATCGAGTCTGTTTGACCCGGACGCCTCATGCTCGCCAGCTGTGTCACCATATCGGCATTCGTTGTCTGTAGATGATACGATAAGATCATCAAAAACAGAACCAGAGATCAAAAAACAAACCTTGATTGCCTCCAGCTCACCCTCCTTTGCGCTGAACTTACGCCGCCATCCAGCTTTGACCTCGGCATACGCTTTGATGCTCGCCTCGAACTTGTCAATCTGCTTCCACCGTCCATCAAGCTGCTTCCGCATGTCTGTAAGCTTCTCTGTATACCGACCCTCTACCTCTTTACACCGCTTGTCAAAATCCAGCTCAATCTGACTCAGCGCCTTCAGCCGAGTTATCAGATTGTCGTGGAAGACACTGAAATTCGTGAACGGCTTTGTCTCCGCGTGCCCACCCTTTTTCTGCAACCCGTAGTATCAGTCAAGGACGAAGTTTGACAAGACGAGGAGGAACTCACCGGTGTCTTATCAACGCCCAGTATCTTGTCCATGTATTGATAGATCGTCAACAATAACGTGTTTCTCTCCGTGAGCTGATCCCGATACTGGCTCTCCGCATTCAACAATGACCGTTGGTCCTTCCCTAACCTCGCCTCCAACTCCGTAATTCTAGCCTTGAACGTGGCAACCTCTCCTTCCGACGCGCGTAGATTACTCTGTACCATGTCTAATTTCTCAGAAATGTTCAGGCGAGCCTGAGTCTGAGCCGCAAGCTGCGTAGACAGCTCCCTGTTGTCTCCATGCAACTTATCCAAGTCACTGTCTCGATCGCGACTCTTGCTCTCCCTCTCGCTAAGTTCCTTTCTCGCCCTAGCCAATTCGTCCTCAACCCGCTCAAGGTCTCGTTTGAGACGATCGACCTCGAGCTGCAAGGAGAATTGTGCCGTCGTGTGGGTCTCTCCGGCACGCTTAGACTCAGACTCCAGCATCTGCAAAGCAACCTGAACAGCCTGGAGATCCGTCTCCCTTTGGCTCAAGAGTGACTGCGCGCGCGAAAGATCGTTCAACGCACTCTGGAGAGCGCTTTCTTTCGCCTCCAGCGCTCTTCGCTCGCGTCGTAGATCAGTTTCACACTTCTTCTCGACCTCCTCCAACACGTTCTCCGACCGTTCCCGTGCCTCACGTTCACACTCAACCTCTTCAACCAACTCCTCGACGTGTTGTGCGAGCTCCTCTTGCCGGGCACGATGCGCATGTATTTCTTGACTACATGTCTCGTATTGAGCTTTTACCTGGGATAGTTTCTGCTGCAAGTCAGTGGATAGATTTGTGACAAAGAAACAGAACTATATACCTCTTTGAGTGCAGTCTGAATAGCCTCCAAACGGTCCCTCTCCGCATCATCATCCTCCCGTAGCCGATCTGCCTCGTCGCGTATGCGATCCCGCTCATCCTCCAAATTGTAGACCTGTTCACCAAGTTCCTTGACAGCCTCGGTTAATGTCTCGATCTCACTGTCCTTCTCCTCTGCCTCGTGCTCCAGATGAGCCAATGCAGCTTCGAACTTGGTATGCAGATCCTCGGTATTGGCCTCCAGTTCGTTGATGTTGAGTCGCAGATCTTTCGATTCAGCATCACGTTCAGCGAGGACCTGCTTGTGGATCAGGACGCGAGGAAAGGATAACAAGAAAAATGCTCACGTCCCGTAACTCTTCTACCTGATTTCTCGTCTCTTCTACCTCGCCGCGCCACTGTTCAACTATGGTCTCATGCTGAGCGACCAAGTTATCCAGTTCCTCGTTCTTCAAATCGATTTCGTCGTCCTTTTGCTGAAGCTCAATCAATGCAGCGGCTAAGCGATCTTTGACTTGGTTCAAATCGTCCTCAACGGCCTCTCTGTGCTCCCGCTCATCAAGCACCATAGCACGACTCTCGCTCCTCTCCTGCATCTGCGCCTCGTTCCTGTGCTGGAGTTTCTCGATCTTCAGGCCCATCGACTCTATCGATCCAATCAACTCCTGCTTCTCTTCATCATGGTCGTCTGCCATATTTTGCATTCGTTGCTGCCACTCTGTATTGGCCGCCTCTAGCTCAGCAACGCGCTGCTTCAACTGACTGTCCCCGGCATTTCCACCACGCTCTACCATATCCCTCAGACGCTCAATCTCCGCGTTGTTCTCTTCCAGCAAGTCCCGAGCGTCCTCCAGTTGCCCCTCCAGTTCAGCAGTCCGTTTGTCATGTCCGTGCCCATTCTGCTGCTGCTGTCGCCGCCGTAATTCTCGGATCTCGCGATCCCGTTCCTCCAGTTTCTCCTCCAGATCTCTTTCTCGGCCACGAGCACCACCTGCACCACGCTGCATCCTCTCCAGCTCTCGCTCAAGTTCGAGAAGGAGCTTCTTCAGCCGTTTGATTTCCTGACCACGCGCTGAAAGCTCTATCTTGAGATCGATGTTCTGTTTGAGGGCGGCATCCATTTGGTCGGGGGCCAACTGCGCGAGACGTTCCTCGAGGAAGTGGCATTTTATCTTGATGTCAAAGTTCTCCTTCTTGAGATGGTCGATGTGCTACCCAGGGATTAGCAATATTCCACGTACATAGGCAAATATCACACACCTTTTCCTGATCTCTGAGAGTAAGAGCACCCTTGGCACCAGATTTGCGTTTTGCGCGTAGCGCAGTTGGCGTTTCGGTGGCGCCGTCACCCCATCGTTGCTTTTCGGTATCCGGGGTATCTAGAAAGTCGCCATCCGTCTCGTCGAAATAAGTTGACGCGCCAATATTTCTCCGTGAATGATCACCCTTTTGTTGGACAACGGGAGTGGCCAAAGGATTTGTGTTGGACGTATTAGATGGCAGTTGAGGTGGAGAGAAGCTAGAGTCGAGCGAGCCGAGTGAAATGTCTGGTTGTGATCCAGTAGATTGTAGGGAGATGTCGACCTTGTCGGTTGACATGTGTGTATGTTATGCTGAAATGGATGACACCAGAATTCAGTACATCAAGTAAAAGATCAAGTTCATGTACCGCCGGCTTGGGTGGACAAGTAGCCCCTATCCTAACAAGGTAATCGATTTGCAATATATACATACATACAGAGGGTATATCATCCATCATCGCGCATAAGGATGGAAACTATGCTGTCCTCTCGTCATCACCCGCGATGGCCCGACGCCCCCGCCCATCGTCACCATTCTCCCCATCGGACCGGCCACCCGATTCATTCCGGGCATGGCCCCGCCGCCGCTCATCCCGCCCATCCCGCCCATTGGTCCCATTCCGAGCCTCATCCCGCCCATTCCGTTCATCGGCGCCATTCCCATCCCACCCATCATCCCCATTCCCGCCATCGGGTGGAACTGACTCATCATCATTGGATTCATGCTCATCATCGGCATTCCACTAGGCAGCATAGGCATCCGCTGATATATCATGGACATTGGGTTTGGCTGCTGTGAGATGAAGGGCATCGGCGGTCGCGCTTCCGGTGTGTTCGTGAACGACATATTTCCCATGCTGCTGACCACCCCTGCGTTTCCGTTGCGGGCTTGTTCTCGCTGACTGCGCGGTTGCGCCGTCTTCACTTCAATCTACCGTATGGACCATTAGGTCAAGTGCAATAAGTAAGACTTATCATCACGTACCTGCTTATCGTCCAAAACCAAGTTTTTACCCACCAGCTGGTCCGAATTTGTTGCGTCCTCGAACGTCACAAAACCAAACCCTTTTGACCGCCCAGATTCACGATCAAGCATGACCGTCGCGTCCACGACTTTACCATACGCAGAGAAAAACTCTTTCATCGATTCCGACGTTGTTGACGGGGCTAGACCACCAACGAAATAGCGCGTGTTGCGAAGGTGCTCTTCGCGTGGAATCGCACGTTTAGGGTCAATCTAAAATTTAAAATTTAAAAAAAAAATGAATACCTGCTCAACAAACAAACAAACGAATCAAACATACAGCTTTCCCATCCAAGAAGTGGTCTTGTGCGGTAACAACCTGCACTGCTGATGGATCTTCAAAAGTCAAGAACGCAAAACCTCTCGACGTCCCTGACGGGTCTCGCATGATAGTCACCGCATCGACCTCAAAGACGGCCAGTAAGTAAGAACACGCAAATCAAGCGGCACGGCTAGCTAGCTACCTTTCCAAACTGAGAAAAGTAATCTCTTAGCCCTTCTGAAGAACACGCACAGAGTAAAGGGATCAGCCTGTGTAACAGAGATATATATAAGGATAGAATAAGTACCATCTGTTGTATCCCAATTCAGTCCTCCAATGAACATTTTGCTACATGTGCCACCACGGTACCGGAGAGTATAGTGATCGTAGAATAGACAGAGAGAAGAGAGGTAGTAGCGTGAGCATAGGCAAATAATTAGTACGCAACAAAAAACCGAGGAACGAGGGGGGGGAGGTAATAATTATGTACGACGGCGTGTGACAGTATCATAGACCGTGTCCCAATCCAAGTAAACAACAGAAGAAGCAGGCTTACCCCGCATCATGCATTTCGGAAGGCTTTTTTCCAAAGATACTATCTGTCATAGTTGGTATCGACGACGGGCCTGCCTTGGGCGCCGGTTGCCTCTCTTGGCTGGGTGACTGCTGATACGCCGAGAACTGCTGCGCTATCTGGGCGGAATACGACAACGACACCGACGAACTTTGTGGCTTAGCAGGAAGCGAGCTAGGGGTGGTCGGCGAAGCTTCATCTATTGTTGCTGCTGCTGTTGTTGTTGTTGTCGTCGTCGTCGTCGTTGACGCGTTCGACATGAGCTGGTCCTCAGGCTCTTCGACAGGAACGACAAACTCAGACTCCTCATCCCCATAAATGTCTACAATTTCGATAAGACAGAAATAAATGGCAGACAAGGAATCATACCGCCATAGAGGTCCGAGTCGATGGCAGCTATCTTGTTCGACATGTTGGTCGAGAAGAAGGTTGTATGTCAAGTGTCACGGTCACACCTGGCCTCGATGCATTCATTGTTTCCCATTGTTCGGTTTCGACTTGGTTGAATGTTACAGTACTACAGTACGATACATACTACTTATCTCGCTCGCTCACAGACCCTCTCCTCTAATGTACCCCGTTCACAACCAAGGCATGTCCTTTCTCTAGTCTCTGCCTCGTCCTCTCAGCTGCCGCATCGTACACAAAATGCACGGGATGAGCATTATGCCACCGCACATCGCGACTATCGTCCGAATCTGAGTCGTTCCGGTCTTCAACAGGAAACTCGTCCCTGGTCTCGTAAAACAAGTCGTCTGGATCAAAGGGTTGATCGGCTTCTTCTGCTTCGATTACTCTCCGCTTCCCGAGCGCCTTGGCGCTAGGCTTAATAGGCGTTTCTACAGAATCATCGCTTGATGAACAATATGAATCCGACCCGTTTGCAAGTGTCGCAACAGTCAACTCCACATTCGGTGAAGAGGTGCGGGAATGAACAGATGTTTGCGTTGGAGACCTTGGGCCATGAGGTGCCGGTGGCGGAGCCAAGGTCTGTGCTGCTGAAACATCAGAATGAAGCAATGACACTGGTCGAGAACGCGATGAGTGAGTCGGAGATGGACTACGCGATGATGACCCGCCGATATGTATATCAGACATGGCCGATAGAAGTTCTTGCTGCTCCAACAGCTGCTTTTGCTGCAAGACACCGACACCACCGTCAACAAAAGTCATTAAACAGGCTCCTAAACTTACTCTAGGATCCATCCGCACATCTTTGCGGCTGTTCTCTTCCGCCTCGCGCTCCCACCCTACTCTTTCAAGATCGTCATATTGCTGCAGAGCATCTGCAATCTCTGCGTTGGCACCAAGCAACGCTGCCAACAGTCGCTCTTCCGTCGTCAACTTTACCGGAGCATCTTCAAGCGGGGAGTTATCTGATAGCGTGCTTTGTCGCTGTTGCTCAGCTCTGGACCTTTCGGCTCCAGCGGTTGCCCAAGGGATTTGAGCGTAGATGATTTCTTGAGACTGGCGACATTTCAAATAAAATTCCTGCGCCGTCGTTAGCCCAGTTTAGGTCGCCGTGGTAAAGGGTTACCGCACCTGTATGACATCCTTCTCACGAAGATCTTCGGGGCGCGCAAGTGCCAATGCCTGGGAAAGCAAACTAGCATTACCCTGACCAATTTTACATTCTTGGAAAAGACGTTTGATATCTTCCTCCGGTGGTATGATGCGGTTCCGCGTGAGCGATTTGCGTTTCCGGTGATTGTGCATTGTGCGAGGCGCCGGGTCCTGGGACAAGACTGGATTTTCATAATGGGAGAGTCTATTATTGACGGGAGGACTAAACATGGCGTCATCGGTGTCAAACGGGATGCCCTGAGAGTTTCACGGTTTAGTTTGAAAAGAAAAAAAATGAAATACGGTCGAGACACGCACCTCATCAGGCTTTTCTGGAGGTTTGACTTTTCGCCAAAGTCCCCTGAAACCAGTGTCCTTTCCTAGGAGAGAAACAGTCAGCCCTGAATAAAGTGAATCAGTAAAGGCTCACTTGTTCCGCTGGCGTATGCGGCAGCGGCCACAACGTCCATCACTCGTTCGCGAACGACAGGTGACGTTCTCGGAGACGTTATAACGTCTTCCAGAGTGTCGAGAAACTTTTTTGACGTTGACTGTGAGATGAATGTTTCGGTAGAATTGCGTAGCATGATGGCCCATAGCTGGAAAGAGTTGACTGAATATAATTGAAAAACATGGAGACGGAAACATACCCTTGCAGCGGATAATTGTGCAGAAGGTTCACCATATCTAGAGATGGATTTGATGGATGGGAAGAGAGAAAGAAGAAGCAAGCAACCGACTTGAATTCTCGTCTTAATGCACGGACAGCTTCTTTCGCATTAGCTTCACTGGCTGAAGCGCGCTCACAGACTTCAAGTACCATGCTCCAATCTTCCGAAGCAGTAGCGGTAAAGAAACCTACGCATAGTGAGTGAGTACGAGATGGATACGACAGACAAACTGGGTAACCTATCATCCTGGTAACGCGGGACGGATCGTCGTCTCTTAAGCTTTCCTGATGCTTGTCCTTGTTCCAAAAACGGTTTTTCCTATCTGCATGTCCATGGTCCGAGAGAGAAGAATCATTGTTGTGAGCGGTGCTATCGAGGCTGTGAGGATCAAGAGCTCTGAGGATGCCCAAGGCGGGTGTCAAGGCGGACTGTTTCTTCTTCGTAGCGACAGCGAAAGGTGAAGGGGATCTTGGAGCAGGTATTGGAGGCGAAGCGCCCGGCGGTAGAGAACTAAATGACGAATTGCGAGAAGGAGATAAGCCTGGTGCGCGTGGCTGGTCATTAGTGTCGACTACCTCCCAGCGATCTTCGTCCGACATTGGGAGTCTACTATCCCTCTGATTTTGCAGAGAGGGGACGCTATGGTGGTATAGTGCATGTTGCTGGTGAATCGGAGTCGAAATCGATGGGTGCTGGTCCTGGAGTAGATGAGTATTTTCGGTACAGAGCTGGCTGGGAACAACCTCTAGCTGGTCCTTTGCCTTTGCTGGCTTCGTCTTATCTCTTCCAAATAGCTTTTTCATGTCGTGAGCGTCGTGTAAGAAAGGAAGAGAGGTAAGTAGCAGACCAACAGAGGCTGTGTTCACCACGTGGCGACCAGGATTAGATTAGATCGACTTTAAATTAGGTAATTACCGGGCAATATCCCTCGGCAACTGCCTCACCAAAAATGACACCAACCGCCGCCTCGAATGCGGGCGCAGTAAACTCAAACGTTGCCAGGCATGCGTGCTCGACGCTGACTCTGTTCAGATCGTACGGCGTGCAGCACGATACCAGCACCATATTCGTCTTTCTCCCCGCTGCTTTCTTCATCCACTCCAACTGCCAGGGCGATCTATCGGCGTTCCTCAAGACAAACACGATGCCTGACACCCCGTTCCAATCGACTTGCTCGTCACTAGGATACACGACGTGCACGCACTTTGTCCTCTTGGAGATGGACTCAGCCAGTGCAGCGAAGGAGGGTCCTGCGGTATTCCGAATTTTGCCAGCACCGTCCCTCAAAACGCCGTCGGCATCGTCGATAGCTTTGTTCAAACTTTCTGGTCGAGGGGTGTAGCACACAACGGTGTCAGTGGCTTTCAGCCAGGTGCCATTCTGGAGGATGGTGATGGTCTTCTGGTATGCCTCCTCGCTGAGCCTTTTACTCGCAGCCTTGACCGTGTTCCAGTCGTCAGCAGGAAGAGACCAGTCAGCGAACCAGTCCTTCAAGGCCTTCACTCTGTCGCCACTGTCCTTTAAGTCGTTGGCGCTGATCCGTCCTGCCTGGACCGCATCGTACACGCGTTCAATGGCACCCACCTGTCTCGCCATTGTATGACATATCATCGCGATATCTGCACCAGCCTCCAACGCGCGAACCGCTCCCTCTTCGATACCACAGCCACCCTGGCTCAGTTCAGCAATGGCATCCATCTCCAGGCAGTCCGTCACCACCACGCCCTCGAAACCCAGATCTCCTCGCAGCCACCCCGTCGTAATCTGTCTCGACAACGAGCAAGGTATATCCCCGCCGGTCACCAAGGGAAGCGCCATATGTCCCGTCATTATGGTAGCACACTTCTCCTCAATCACCCTCCGGAATGGAATTAGTTCCGTCAGCTCCATATCTTCTCGACTTTTGCTGATCCGTGGCAACGCAAGGTGTGAATCAACGTGGGTATCTCCATGCCCAGGGAAGTGCTTTGCAGCAGGTGCGATATTTGCCGACGTGAGGCCCTGGGCTGCTGCTACAACATACTTTGCGACCTCTTCGGCATCTACTAATTGTCAATGCAGTTCTATCCATGACAAATCATGACGCACCATCTCCAAAGGACCTTACTCCAATAACCGGATTTTTCATGTCAGAATTCACATCTGCTACGGGACTGTATGCCCAATTCACTCCAAGCAATCTCAACTCCTTTCCGGATGCTGCATACACATCTCTAGCCATTTCTTTTGAACCCGAAGCTGCGAGGGCCATTGCACCAGGACTAGGATGATTAGCTCGATTATCGTCAACATCAAACCACCTACAACTGTGTCGCTGCCGTGGAGGAGCTCATCGCCGACACCATGCCATTTTCCTGATCCGTCCCAATCAACAGTGCCCTCTCATGCCCTGCCTCCTTCGCAATCATTTGCAGTTCCGATACAATCCTTCTAACCTGCCCAACATCTATGTGTGGCCAAGAAATAGATATTCGCTAACAACTCAGACACACGCACCCTTTACATTTCTTTTCATCAGAATCACGCTTCCCACGAAGTACGTTTGGATCAGTCTCCGTATATCGTCGTTCACTTCTTGTCCGTGGAATCCCACTACGAAATGTTGCCCAATTTCTCGCCGGAGTGACTCTGAGAGCATCGTAATCGATAACAAGCCATTCACAAGCTCAGGCCGTTCAATGACAAGATCGGTCCGAGCATCCGTAATCACAACTTGGTAATCTTCACACCTGCCGCAGGCCTCGGTATCTCACTCTCAGCTTCTTGATCCATCCACAGCTCTAGGTTGCCAAGAAATTACCTGCTCAAAGATGCGAAAGTCTCGTCTGCTCCTGAGTATATATGCTACTTTCTCGGTACGATACGTTTTACTACCGAACGATGACGGGACAGAAACTTTTGCCCTCTTTTCTTATCCTTCCTCGGACATTGGTTAGGCTGCGTATGATGAGCGACGAAGTCGCCTTGTGGAGCAAGCGCAGACTAGCTCGACTCCGAACCCTACCTATCTTCTAAGATCAATAAATCTTCTCTTGTCAAGAACACGTGGAAGCGATATCCCCTTAGTCCATTACCTTCTTATTAGGCTTAACTTGGACCAATAAGCCCGCCCAGCATGAATCTATCAATGACTTCACTAATGACATCCTTGCAGAAGTCACGCATAGAGGGTTCTCCTTCACAGCTCCCGGTATGCCTGCTACGGTAAAAAGATTTCTGAGTCTTTCGTTGCCGACATAAAGCAGAGACGAGTATCTTCATGTCTCCAGCTCGCGGAAGAGATCTAGTAGATATGAGAGGACAGGAACCGTGCCGTTTCTATTTTCGCTCTGTGATGAATTCGTTGCTGGTCCTCATATTTGCATTCGTGATGCACATCATGGCAGCTCAGTAAATTCGTGATGGCTCAATATGCTTACCTCCAACGGTGACTTTCTGTACACAAGTAGGTCCCATGGAAACACGACTTCAAATCCTCTAAAGCTAGATCAAATGCATTGCTCCATATGATAACGGGCGTCCATATCAATACCAGGTCCTAGTTACCGGAATCAGAAGACGTCTGTCGAAATTCTAAACCTCAAATATCAGAACCCGCCAAAGAGCACCGAAAACTACCGGTACCTCTAATATATTTCTCCAGGCCAGCCATAGGCTCTACATCCCCACAAAAACCTTTTCCTCACACCACCTCGAGCCAGCCCAAGAAAAGATAATCAACTACCTTCCGTCTCGACCGGAAGGAATGACCATAATCGGTGATATGAAGGAGAAGATGCTACCTATGTCGCGAATACGCGACGTTAGGCTGTGCATTCTGGAGGATATCCCACGTTATCCCTTGAAGATACCCGAACTCCTCTGGATCATCAATAGTGTTCTGTTCTACCCCTTCACCTAAGCAGTTGTTGTCCCATATAGGAGCCACTCGCGAACCTTCCCAATCCAAAATTCCCACCAACTTGGTTGGATCTTCAGGCGAAACGACCACATTCGACCACTGAAAAAATCATCATGAAACAGGACGAACGGACTCTCAGGGAGATCCAGAATATCGTCCCGAAGACCCTGTACACCTTCATACAACAGGCGAAGCCACTCGTGTGCATCCTCGAGCGACGTGTCGTCCAAACCGCCGCTCAAGTTTTGTAGATCTTTTCTCTGTTCCCGCCAATTCTCGGGGGTTTCTTGGATAAGCTTTGGTTCAGCAGATACATTTGCTAGCAAGTACTCCTTTGTAGTCTTGAAAGGCCCGCAATCAAGACCAAGCAGGGACGGATACATGCATGAACGGGACAGCGGACCCAGGGTTCCATGCTCGTCGAGAAGAGATCCAATTGCAGGAAACTCCAGCTTGAGTAGTTCAGATTGAAACCCGCATAATTGACGAATGGCTTGCTCGTGTCCTTTGGGAGTTAATCTATCCCAGACCTCATCAAGGGAGGGACCTACGATCTGCAGAAGACACATCAATAGATATCAAGGAACTCTGGTGATACAACTCACGCTGTCCATAAGCATGAAACGCGTCCCAACGACATTGTGTACATCGAATTCAGCCAGGTGGACATGCGGAACGAGAATGGATGTGTGGATCTCAACATAACGCATTGTCGCAACCTGGCTGTAAGTGAATTTAACAAGGAAGTCGTTTCAGTCATAGCTCTTACTTCAGATCTTATCCGGTGAGTGGGAACCTCCTCAGATACGCCTTTATCCTGGCCCAAGCGGCTACCACTTAGGCGCGCAATGAGCTCGTGTCCATCTTGGAATGTCAGAAGAAAAACCTAAAGCATGACAAGTTACGGTGGCGTCGCTTGTTCACTTATGATGACATTGAACGGGTGAGCTCACAGTATTATATCCACCTTGTGCGATGGCCTCGCAGTTAATGCATGAGATCCCTCTATAATCTGTTGCTCTCTGTCGAAGAGCCTCGAGATTGAAGTTCGACAAGCATGTATTGTAGAGCTCTCTGGATCGTTCTGAACAGAGGAAATCCATTAAGTGGCCATCCCAGTTCAATAACAAGTTGCAACCGTTGCAACAACGCGCCATGCGACAGAACGTGTAGCAGGGACATTTTTAAATAATATTAATAGTATCTCTCCGTACGATGCTTTCGCCTTCAGTAAACAGGAAAAAAAAATGATACTAGAGCAAGATTCCTGTCAGCTAGAAATCAACAAATAAACCAAGAAAGACACTAGAAATACAGTTTGGATATACGAAAAATACACTGCAAAAACACAAATCTAATACTTCTGCAACGAAGACCTAGCATTACATTTAACATTCCCCCCCTTGTACCACTGTTCCAGGTATCCAGACGCGTAACGGTTGTCGTGGATCCATCTGTTTCGTCTCTCTCTTCGTTTTCCCTTTTCTTTTCTTTGGAACAGACTGGGATTGTTCGGATATAGGTGAATCCCCTTCGCTATCCGAAGATGCGAGGAAGGGCAAGTCTGGGAAATTTTTCGGAACACGGGAGCCTTTTAAATACCGACAAAGTCGACTATACCATCCGGACAAGAATTTCTGCAACTGCTTGTGAGTGGTCGCTGTGTCGTAAATCTCATCAGCCAAGTTGGTTTTAGCCAGCCGTAACGAGCAGACTCCGAGTGCAGGGCAGAACCATAAGCATCGCGGAACGATGGCCTTCTGTGTCACCATCATAGACCTTGTACGTTGTCTGCTTCTCCGGAGGTTTGACCTTTGGGTGGGATGAAGAAGAACAGAAGAACAGAGGAAGTATGGGGTTAGGTTACCAGAGATGTTTGCACCGAAAGAGCAGTCGTGATCGAGGATTCTCTCTGCCCTTTGAGCTAATGGTGTGGTGGAACCATGGCTAAACGTCGATTTCAAGTCACAAGCCTTTGGTTGGAGAAAGGTCGGTAAGAGATATCTCTGCTGAATATTTCTCAAGAAGCCATCGGTGTTGGTGCTGTTCTTTGTTGTGGTCATTTGAGTGATGTAATGACACGTAGAGCGTTGAATATTCTAAGATTACATTTCATGAAAAGGTTACATCTTTAAGGCCGAATGGCTACGGAAATATCCGGACAGTCCAAAAAAAAAGACACTCGCCATGATAACGGACGTACAACGTATTCCGTTCTCTCTCTCCCTCGCCCATCTGATTAAAGTCATCCAAGGACTAATCAAAGTGTATACCGCGCTTTGGATCAGCCTTTCTCTTCTGAACAGCCTTTTTGACCTTGCGCTCTGGCCTGACGACGATGATAGGAACGGGTGAATGTATGAGGACATATCTAGATACAGAGCCCATGGGACCTTTTCCTATATTCTGCCATGCCCTGGAAGGAAGGAAATGAGCGCAAAAGTCTAAACAAAGAGTTTGAACTCACTTTCTGCCACGAGTGCCTACGACGACTGAATCTGGACGGTAGAGGGCAATGAGGCGGTCGAGGGTGTCTGTGATCCTGCCTGGGACATATTCGAGGATCAGGGAGAGCTTTCTGTCCGGGAGATCAGACGCCTTGTCCTGGACGCGCTGCATGAGCTTCCTGGCCTCATCGCGGAGGATATCGTGGTCCTTTGCAGCGAGCTCGTCCTCGTCGACGCCGCGACAGACAACAAACTCGTCTCCATCCTGGACGAGCGAGTCGAGAGCCCAGTCGAGGGCCTCGTTGCCAGTCTCATCTGGAGAGGCAGCACAGAGAAAGACGCGGGTGCTGCGAGTGCGCCGATAGCCAGACGACTTTGCAGAGAGGGTGAATGAGAACATGGAAGCGACAGGATTTTCAAAGGTGTCGAATGATACTTTGGGTGTGTACGGCAAGGTGGAGGGCGGAGGGGAGGACAATGCCGGGGACGGGGACGGAGAGGGAGACTGTCTCATGGCGGAGCGAAGCATAGTGGTGATATAAAAATAATAACAAATAGACTAGAAAGGAAAAGAGTGGTCGCCGGTGTCGTCGGGCAGTAGTACTTTATCTTTAAATCTTCCAATGGCCTCCAACCGTTCCTGCCAGTTTGTCTTCATCTCCACCCTCTCTGTGTCCCGGCCCGTCCGAGAAAACACAGACGCGTACCAGTCAGCGAGCAGACTCAACTGCCGCACTAGCAACGGCAAGTTCTCCGCAGACACAAGCCGGTACTCTCCCACCGGCGCAAACTCCATCATCCCCTCCGCACTCTGGACCGTAACCTTGAAATACTCATTCTCGTGTAGATTGTTTGAAAACGCGGCAATGGCGCCCAGCGAATGCGGCTCGACCACAATGTTCACAAACTGAAACTCGGTCGATAACGTGTCGAACCGGTACGGCCGGCCCCCGTCGTTCCACACGATGCGCACAAAGTCGTTGCCAATGTGCGCCTTTTTGTTGTTGCAAGCCGGGTCAGTCGGGAGCGAGGGCATCATGGTCGCGGTGTGGTACAGGATCTGGCCGATGTCGTCCCACCACGCGTACGCGTACTCTCCGTCGTCGTCCGGGTTCAGCCCGCCTGCGTACACATCGATCTGGCCCCGCAACTCGATCAGCCGCCCAATCCCTTCCAGAAAGCGCGTATACGCCGGCGACCCGTGCGTATTTTTCAGAATCTCCACCTCGTCCACCTGTCCTGGAGCAACATACAGTATGCCAACCTTGTGGGTGTCAATGACGGGCATCCTGTCAAACGCAGACAGAAACCTCCGCAGCGCACCCTGGTCCGAGATCAGACGCGACGATGATGACGACGACGTCTGAGGATATCCAGACAACTGCAGTGCAAAGTACGCCGGATCAATCACCACCTCCTTCCGCCTCTGAGACGGTGCAGTCCGACTCCACACATATCCAGTAACAGGGTCAGGTCGAGGCGTCGAATCATCATCGTCGTCCTCCTCCCCCTCCTCCTCGTCATCCATCGACAACAACTCTCGAACATCCTCGTACTATATACATCATCAGCAAGCAAGCAAGCCCGTCAGCCATCAATCAACTCACCTCGCCCTCGTCCCCTCCCGCTCTCGGAGGATTCCGATCAGCCAACAACACTGCAGGCACAGACATCATATCAGGCTCCACATCTCCAGGCCCCACCAGAGGCGAATTCTCCAGTCGGCACAAGAACTTGGTGTACCCAGACGGCCTGCGAGACAGCACTTCAATCCACCCCAGCCGAGTCAGCGTTCGGATCGTGACAATCGCGTTCCCAATAATCCACGTCTTTTCACTGGTTGCCACCTCCATCTTCCGTGTCGGGTTCATGATCATCTCGCTCAACAGCGAATTCGCAGGCCTCGGATCAGCACTCGCATACGTGTACCGTGCCAGCCAGTCAAAGCACACCTCGGTGGCATTGTCCACCCCACTCCTCCCTTCATTTGCCAGCAAAAGCTGTCGCGTAATATACGGGATATGCTGCAGACGATCCGGAACCTTCACACCCAGGAACCACACATACACAAGATAATACGACAGTATCCGCACATGCTGAGAAAGCGCCCACGACACAGTAGGAGACTGGCTCTGCTGGATGTAGTGTTGCAAATACTGCAACGCAACCCCAAACACCATCTTGAAATCCCCATCCGTGAAGTTCGAATACAGAGGGGGATGCGACCCGATAATCGACAAGAATCCCAGTATGTGAACTGCCATGTCCGGGTTCGACATGATCTGCGATAGCTTTTCCAGGATGCTCGACATGTACTTGGTCGTCGACGACTGCAGCTCAAACGCTGTGATCGACAAAGAGTGCAAACACGTCTTGACCGTCATCGGCTGCCCATCAAGTCCTCCAAGGAAAACCTCCACCAGCGTATGCTTCTGCCGTAGATCAAAACACCGCCCGTAACTGATGAGCACAGAAAGGACATGATACGCCAGCCCATGCGCGTCTCGAATCTTCAACCCCAAAGGCCAACGGTCAATCTGCGCCGCAAAATCACCCTCCAAAATCCCATGGCACAAAATCGTCAGCATTCGCGAACAGACTGCCCGCGATTTGGGCCCACAAAACAGGTGCTTGTTCGCCAGCTGCACCGACAAATGACACAGCACATACGACAGGATCTCCCAGTTCTTCTCCTGCTCCAGAATATCGCAAATCGCGGCAAGGTACCTTGAAATAGGGAGCACGGGGACGCGATCGGGACCAAGGGGATCATAGGTGATGAGTGCTTCACTCGGCGTATCGACCTCTGCAAAACTGAACGGCACATGTTCAGGAATGTACCACAGAGGATCCCGCGGCTTCACAGGCGGCGCAAGAGCCGGGATCCTCGATCGACTCCGACTCCCGGGGTTGGTAGACGCCCCACGCCCCCGCCTCTCATGCGGCATACGCGCCCGCGCTTTCCGGAGCTCGGACACCGCATCAGCCACATACGGCCCCGCCCGCACGCCATGCTCCGTCCCCTCCCGCACGCGAGCTATAGATGCCGCCAACATAGACACCTGTCCCTCCGTATCATACCCCGTCTTCATAAAGTACACCCGGTGGTCCCGGTCAGCCCGTAGTCGCATAAAAAACTGCAGTACCGTCAGCCGTACCCGAGCATGTTTAACTCTCTGAAGGATGTCAATCAGAGTATCATACACAGAAAGCGCATGATCCACGTTGCTCAACGAAAATGGAGTGAACGACAGTTGACTAAACACACTGATCAGCGCCGTGACCGCCCCGACAGCTCGCGACGCCGTGCTCTCATGCGGCTCAGGCTGAGCCTCAGCAGCCGTCTCTTCGATAGTCTGCGGATGGATAGACTGCGCACGAGACACCGAGCCAGCAGCCAGAGAAGATATTATCGACATGATCCCAACATCCTTGTCGCGATACTCCCCGTGCAGCCTCGCCGGCGCACTGTACCCAATCTGTGGTGACGGCGAGTGTGTATCAGCCGTACCCACAGAAACGGTATCCCCATCTTCCTCATCATCATCGTCCACTGCAAAGCTGAACAGCAGATCAAGAAACTTGTCCACACTCTCGTCCTCTCCCGACGCTTCGACGATCCGCAGGACAACTTCGTCTCCGAGGATTTTCCACATCGCCTCACATTCCTCCGTCTCGCTTTCGTTCCCACGTTTCTGACGATGCTCATACACCACGTCTGCCAGCGCTCGTCTGTACACACGCATGTCCCTCACACTGTCATACACATTCGCCAACGCAACCATCACCGACGCCGTCGTTATCGGCCGCCGTGCACTAACCATGACCGGATTGTTCAGCATAGTCCTCCAATTGTCGAGCCAATCAGGACAGGTCGGAGATATATCATGTTGCCCCAACATGACTGTGGGAAGCCTCGAAGCATCAAGATCAGTAAGATGATCAGAAATGTGGAGGAGAGTCGAGGAAAGCAGTGGTCGGAGATGCGTAGAATGATCACGCGCCAGCAGAGAGCTGAGAATGCGGAGGAAAGCCGTCGGAGCATTGTTGGGCTGCGCAAGCGGTACCACAAATGGCGTACCGTCCGCGTTTCTATGAACAAAAAGGTGAGCTACCTTGTACATCCGGGCCGACACAAACTCACACGAGGGGATTGACATATCCCGCGAGACTATACAACGTTTCTCCTACAGCATTAGCCTCCTCCTCTTCAAACGAGCCACTACCAGAGTCTCGCTCGTCAAGCTCTTGGAGGATATCTTTTAATGTACCCGCCGCTTCAGCCAGCACCTTCTCCTTACCAGCCTCAAACCCTGCCAAGTCACATCCCGCATTGAAGATGATCCAAGATTCAACGCTGCCTGCCATCGCTCTGCCCACCCGCGACGCATCCCATCCATTCAACGCAACGTCATCTTTTGGCCACGCCCTCTCCAAAAGATCCTTCTCAATATCCATGTTCCCTGGTGCACCGGTATGAGCGTAACTCAGCGAGCTCTGTCGAGATATATACGCACGCGCAAGTCGGGTGATGAGGGCTCGACGAATATGGTTCCGCAAGGCGCGCTGCGCACCGAAAGACGTCTGGATGGCCTTAGATATCTCACGGTGGTCGATCCGAGTGTCCTTACGATTGGGGGAACCATTTTGAGCCTCTTCTAAGCGACTTGCGTTCAGTAGCGCCGGCGAAGGGTACAGATGCTGCTTCAAAATCATGATGCAGGTCGACGAGTACAGTCCAGCGAGCAGGGAATCGAGCATGCCTTCAATCTTCTCCTCTGATGGATGTTTTTTGAGTGCCTGGGAGTAGACCGTTAACCTTGGTAGAGGTGTCGCACAAAAGGCCAAGGCTCGGAAGAGAAGCGGGAGAATCGACGTCAATGACGACGGAGAAAGAGACCTCATTTGCGAGTCGAGATGCTTCAAATACAGACCAATCGCAATGTCTGCCGGCTGCTTTGAGGGGTGAGGTGTAGGTGGTAACGAAGGCGACATCGAAACGGTAGGTGACGGTAGAGAGGATATTGAAATCGAGGAAGCGTGTCGCCTGTGCGCATTGGGGGACCGCGATGGCGTAGTGGTGTGTGACACCTGGTCGGAAATCGGTAGTGGTGAAAGCGTAGACGAGTCTCCCGGTGTGTCAATAACACGATCCACGAGTACAGCATAGAATTCCACCACGCCTTGCAATTCTGACTCTGAAATTCGAGCAACAATTTCTGGCTTGTCGGCAATCGATGTAAGAAATCCGGACAGAACACTGATACTCCGTTCTCGCTCCAACTCTTCACGATGAGAAATGGTCTCCGTGCCCAGTCCTTCGAATGCGCCCATGATCCAGGATTTGAGAACTTTGAGGAACATCGTTTCAATCCCGACAATTTCCACTCCGTATTTTGTCAAAGCTCTCAGAGCCTTGAATCTGGGTTCCCATAAATCGATACTCCACGAAATGCTGGATCCCAGGAAGAACGAGAAGAAGGATATTCTATCCGCAGTCCCAAGGGTGGGGGCTTCATGATTTTCCCAATATGCCGAGAGGATGTCAAATCCTGCGACCTGGTTTGCTTCAGAAGAAGTGGCGCTGTAAAGGGAAGCCAAAACAGGGTTTAGAAGCGTATATGGAGGAAGTGGAGACAGCGTAGGCAGCATCGCCGCTAGAGCACGAGCATAATCGGTATTGGGTGGCGAGGGCGGCGTCAATGCTGAGATGAGGGCTTCAAGAGGCAACGATGGTAGTGTCGTCGTTGTCTGAGCCGGCGTCGATGGTTCTGTGCGTTGCCGCCGCCAGTTGAAAGGAGCAAAATTAGTGTTTGCCCGTGGGCGAGACCGTGTGTTTGTGTCTGCATCCTGTCGGGACATTCAAATGGTAGTGTCACCGGGACGGAAGAAGGTCGTGCTCGTCGTGATCGTCGTTTATGAGACCCCTCCCCCTCGTCGCCCAAAACGATGAGCTCCGGTACCGGTCATGTGATCGATTTGCCACGAGGTATTACGTAAAATCAATTAAAGCACGTCAATTTAAGATTTGCTTCCGCACATTGCGAATCTCTATTATTATACGATGGCAAAGAAGTTAACAATCATTTTAGTACTTCGAGGCGTCGAAAATCTGAGAATAAGAATTTTTTCAGAGCGGGTAAACTGTGGAATATATAATCGTAGCACTCCGCCCCACTCACACTCAATAAGGGCCGGTCTCCATTATCGCTAGCACCAGACTGGTACTGATTTATGGAGCCGCCAAACCCGACAACTCGACCTCGCCGTTCGGCAATCGCAATAAGAGGATACGATCAAAACTATTTCGGACTTCAATCGAGGGTGCTCACACGTTCACGCCACGCTTCGAAGTACAAAGGTAGGCATCATATTCTCACTCGTCATAAAAATAAAGCCTGTTCTGAGAACTGTACGTTTGTGGAACCGATGTTCCCACAACGTGCTGACAATTCACGACGGCAAAGAAAATATCAGTCTAATAGCACAACGGGCAAGCAGCGCCTCGCGGAATTTTTTCTACTACTTATACATGACTTACGCTGCTGACCGCGATTTTTTCATCTCCATTTTTGACATCCAAAGATGCCGTAGCAGAGGCCTCCTTCGAATTCTCGTGATTCTCTTCCACGAAAGTTTCAACTGCTGGGAAAATCTTGCTGAGGGTCCAATACACAGTCGATGCTGTAAAAAACTAAGGGGAGTGGACATTGGTGATTGTTCAGCAATAAAGAGAATATATGCACCCCGTACAGCCAGGCGATATCAAAGACATGGGAAACGTTCCCAGGATTGATAGATGCATCGACGCTGTTTATGAGGCCGGGGAAACTGGGTGGAACAGCACATAGAAGTGCGACTACAGCCCTCCAGTTCTAAATAAACTACATTAGCATTGAGATTCTGATGGATAGAATCACTGTACAATCCCGTTCCAGTAGCGATATCGACCGCGTGGATCGTACATGGCTCTTAAATCCACTTTGCATTTGTGCACGAACCAGTACTGCGATGATCATACGTCAGTACATGGCAGCAGAATGAAGACGAAAGACCGACGTCTGTAGCCATTCTGTACACAGCCAGTCAATGAAAGGACAAAACAGTCAATATCACTCACATTCCAGCGAAAGGACCAAGGAACACGGTATATCTATTTGCATGTGAGCTTGAAAATTGATGCCGAGCTGAAAAAGTGCATACCCATTCATGAACGTCAAGAAACCCGGCGCAGAGGCAAGGATTTCCCAGGGACACAACGCCCAACCCCCCAGGATAGCACAGATAACTTGACCTCTGCGAATGTTAATATATCTCGGAAAGAGAACAGTCATGTCATTAGCCGCGCTGAGACTGTTGGCCGAAATGTTGGTGCCGAGAGTCGCCACAAAGAAACTGAAGGAAGCAAAAAATGCCGCGGCACGATTATCCCATTTATCGATGAGTTTAAGAGGATCCCAAAGGGTTTCGCCATACAGAACTTCTCCTGCGGACGTTACCGCAATGCCGACGAAACCGATGAAAGTGAATACGGTAGGAATGATGAAAAGCTGCACATATTGACTATAGCAAAGCAGTCAGTAAAGTTCAACGTCTCTTTGGGGATATCCAAGATCCGCCATTGGGCAAAGTAAATAGGAAACTGGGCTAGTCCATGCAAGCCAAGATTGGATCCATCCGGTGATGCCATGTAAACGCGCATAATCGTACTCCAGACTCAGAAGAGATATGGACGGCAGACGATACAATCATTGGCATCTTTGGACTTACGCTTGTACCGTAGTTGAATATCTTGAAAAAGGATATCAGCCGACATGGCATGAAGGATTCCAAGACGAGTGCCGTACCTCGTAAAATCGCTAATATTTACTGCGAGAGTTGCATAGATACCAAGAGCACTGTTCAAGGCACTCAGCCATGCCCAACTCAGAGCGCTGCCGCTGACTTCTGCGTGTTTAGGTTGCAGGGATACGCTCGGTGGTGCCTTGACCATTGCCCAAATCAGAATTGCGAGCCACGCACATGGAACAATGAAAGCCTTAGCCATGAAGAGATGCCGAATCTTTTGTGGGGACACGAGCATAAAAGGGAATTGGAAAAGCCAGTACAGGAAGTAGGTCATCATTCCGACTGTCGTCATGTTAGCGCCTTCAGGGAGATGATTGGGAATACGAGCAGTCCCTGGCCATATGGCCTTCAACATTTGGTATACACATTCGGAGCCGGTGTAAGTCTAGCATAGTGTGGTCAATAAGTGGACGCGAGAAGAGATCCAATACGTACCTGTATCCCGTACCAAAACATGGCAAGAATGACGCGACTGACTACGCTAAAGTAGCTGAACCAGAACCCAAAGGATGAACGATTTATTACTGGCAATATGAGCACTTGATGGGTCACGATAGAATAATACACACCTGGAAATGCAATATGTAAGCGTGCACCGATAGTTCCATTTAATACAGTGACAATTGCTATGATGACATGGCCGACAGCAATGGCGGGAAGGGCTTGACGCCTAAAGGAACAAGGTCTGTTGAGTTCTGTCACAAGGTGCATGAGAAAACGGACCATGATAGACCGACGGCCAGCATGGAACTTGCAAGCTCCCAAACAGCTGTATTCGTCGCGTCTGATATCCAATAAGCCACATAGTTTCGGGTTGACCAGGTTCGTAAATGCGGGGGAACTGGATCCATATCCTTGTTACTCCATCTCTCTTTGCCAAGAGGGGCTAACGACGACGCTGCCGGCGCCAGTGCCCAGTATGAAGGTTTGTACCACATTCTGGATGGACGCTGATGGTACGAAGGAAAGAAGGCCGGGGGAAAGACAGAGCAGTTTTACTACATCCGGAACGGAGAGACCGTATGCTCCTGTAGCACTGATAAGGACGATAACAGGGCGCGGTCTATAAGGGGGCTCAGCATGGGGTAGAAAATACCGTGACGGCGGAATGGCAACTGGGGCAAAAACAGGCCAAATTTCGTGAGCAGCGACTCGATTACGGTGCTGCAGTAGTGTGCAAGACTTGCATTGGTCCCTGCGAGCAACAGCCATGACAAATAGTAATCAGAAATCCTATTCAAACGGAAGCTAACCGGCCTTTACGGAATCCTAGCAAGACAGATGCTCACTGAGACGTTGGCATGATACTATTTGAGGTGAAATGACGACCAGTGATGGTATACGTTATTTAATGTAACAGCATCCCAGACAGCCCAGAAGAGGCAGCGGCGGAGGCATATGGGCACTGTACTAGCAACAGCTTCGAAGGTCGTGGCCGCCGTTATGACCTCGAAATGGCCGCGGCAAATCACGTGCATGACGATTCTTGGCGCTTCATTACAACATTCACATCTTCCTCGACTTCTTCGTCGTTGTGGTCGGGCTCGCCGTCTTTGTCTTCTCTAATTCTCTGTCGTTACTTACGATGCACTCGGATGCCTTCGATGTGATCCCGTACGAGGTCTGTCGACACTTCATGACATCCAGCATCCTTTGCTCATCAATTTCATCCATTAGGACATCAAGGGGGACTGGGTCAGACTGGGATCCGGGTCGTTTGGGAATGTCTACAAAGGTGTGCTCCATGTATCTCAACGGATCTACCGCGACCTCTGTAATGCTGATTGCAGGGAAATACCTGGGCATCGACGTGGCCATCAAGGAAGTTCTCCCATCCACCGAGTACGACGTCGGCAAGTACTTTGAGCGAGAATGGCGGTTGATGAAGGAGTCGCGACATCCCAATATCGTACTCTTCTTGGGTCTGTCCCGTGCGCCGGAGCCTGACAACAGAATCTTCATCGTCTCCGAATATATCGAGAACGGAAATCTTCGTCTTTATATCCACAACAAGTCGAAGCCATTTCCCTGGCGCCTTCGTCTCTCCTTTGCAACGGACATTGCCCGTGCTCTTGCCTACCTGCACGCTCGCAAATGTATTCATCGCGATCTCAAAGGCGAAAACCTGCTTGTCACTTCCAACGGACGTCTCAAGATCACTGATTTTGGTTTCGCTCGCATCGCCGCTCGAAATGAAGAAGAGTCTAAGCGACTTACCTTCTGTGGTACAGACTCGTACATGTCCCCCGAGGTCCTGCTTGGGGACGAGTTTGATTTGCCCACCGACATCTTTTCCCTTGGAATCATATTTTGTGAGATCGTGTCACGCCAATTGGCAGATGACAGGCATTTCAAGAGGTTTGCTCCCACATTCAATATCGATGCAGATGAGATCTACAAACTCGCCAGTCCCGGCTGTCCTCCCGACATGGTCGCCCTGTGTCTTGACTGTCTCGCGATAGATCCCGCCGCACGACCTGTTACCCGTGATATCCTTGAGCGTCTTCGGAAAATTGAAGTGGAAGTGCTGGCACGTCCGAGTGAGGATGAAGATTCTCATGTGGGTAGCATCAAGTTCATGACCGGCGGCAAGCGACCACCAGCTGGCCCACGCATTCCCAGTTTCGGAATGGGAGTCGGAAAGAATATTCGGTCCAGCGGGTCTTCCACCGATGATAGTGATGACGAGCTGATGGAAGCAGTCATGGGCCTATCCACTGTAGGAGTCAAGAGTGATTGGAGTAATTCAACTGGCGGTAAGCTTGCTCCTCATTTGGAGTCCGGATCACTTATCTATATCCATCCAGGTGGTAATGAACCCCTTCTGAACACTGGGTCATCCGAATACAGCACCACTGTTATCCGTGCGCACCCTTCGCAGCATACAGTGCCTCCCTCCCTTTCCTCTATTCTAACCATTCGTGCTTCCCTAAATCCAAACGAGACCCCCGGCCAAGTGCTACCAGCGTCAAACCATTCACCCCCGCCCCATCGTTCCAGCACTATGGCCCAGTGTACCGAAGACAAGGATCTCTTGGGTACTTCATCCATTATGTCTATCGACTCCCTTGACTCATACCACACTGCGGCGGACCCGTCGGTAATATCCAGCGCACTGGCGACAGAAGGAGGATCCACAATCCGCTCTCTGCATGGCAACTATGTTGCTCCTCTTGTCCACCGCTTCACCCTTCTCAAGCCTGGTGGCGCCAAGCCCAAGAAGAATAGCATCAGTGGTACCACATCACCCCCCGGTGAAGCCATCACATGGAACCCGTTTGACTTAATTTTCTCCAGTGGCCTCTTTGTCGCCAAATGCGATATCTGTACGAAACGGCTAGGATGGAAACCCGTGTTGCAGTGTGATGACTGTGGATTGAAGTACGATTTCTAAATTCTTTATATCCGAGCCCTGTCACTGAAACATGCTATAAAGGGCCCACATCAAGTGCGGCGAGGTTGCTCCACGCGACTGTGGTCTCCGACCTTCTTACCATGACCACGCGACAGGCATGTCTCCAGTGTCTAAAGTAAAGCAAGGTGGAAAGGCGAGCCCGACTAGATGATCGCGCCTCTGACCTTCACTTTCATCATGATAATCATTAACGACCTTTTACGACGTTTCCGACCTCCATTCCTGACATTCCATCACGACCACTCATGGACCAATAATTATAAGGCATACATGGACTCCCAACATCATACTTTCAGCTTGACATTTGTACAAACATCAACGTCTTGTATGTGATTATATTATACGATAAGATTCATCTAGTTCCTCGTAGTGGTTTTGTATCCATTCAATTTAAAACGTCATTCAGATGTGATTGACTTGCGTTGTCCTGTGGTTATTCCTTGATGTGACTCCGCATCCCGCGGATTTGGTCTCCGAGCTCTAGCGCTCTCTTTCCTTCAAGCCAAAGCATTGCCTCTGGAATATCATATTTCAGCATCGGCACAGCGACGAGCCATCACTTGTAAGGACCAACCTTTATAGGTCTTCGGCACGACCTTTCGGTTGAGTTTGTGCCCCTCTTCTTTGGCCCAGGTGAACCTAAACTCATTCGTCGTATGCTCGGAGCCGGTCTTTGCGTCTACAACATTGGCTGTGACTCCTACGTGCTGCATGATGCAGTCTAAGATACTGATAACAACTTTGAAACTGTCAGCATCGTACTTACGACAATCATGGGAAACTGGGCCGATGTGGTCGAGTGCAGGATGTATGATGTCAAACGAAGGATAGACCCGATAGGAACGGGTTTGGCGAAGGAGATACCGTCCAGCGACAAGAAACGTATAGGACCCCGGGTGAACATGCTACTGTTGGCGAAGCCGAGCTACATGGCTGTCAGTCGCGGAAGAAATAAAACATACTGCGGGCACACCTCATATGCCAATCTCATAAGGTGTCCACCAAAGACCTTTTGATGAACACTACAAACGTTCAGTAGTGATCGTTCATGAGAAGCGTAAGTACGTACTTCCGTTCCTGTGGGAACATGAGCATGCACTTTTCTGCACGAGTGTCTCCCATCCAGACACGGTCTATATCCTTGGCTTCGTCTAGACCATAGTTGAGATAGAACGAATGTAACGCTTCGGCCTCCTCTGAGCTGGGAGGCACACGGTCCAAGGAGCGCAGCGCCACAGATTGACGTCGCCGCTTCATGTCTTGAGGGATTTGTCAGAGGTCGCAATATGGCAGATTAACGAGCACACCCACCTTCACCCATAGCATACAATGCTTCTTCTTCTGGAGTGCTGATGACCAGAGGATTCACATTCCGCGCTTTGTGGGTGTTAGCATCACGGCATACCATAGAAAACCGACCTAGAAAAAGGGTTAACTACCGGAACGAAATAAGTCGTCGATCATACCGAGAAGCACTGTTTTCTTATCCTTGCTACCACCAATACTCTCCATTTTCACAGCTACTTCCATAGAGCTCTTGCCGGTGTATATGACCTGACCGCTTAGGCGAAGGTCTCTGGTGGGGTCCAAGTTGGCGAGCATATCAAGTCTAGATATTGCTCGTTAAGTAGCTAGGTATGCAGTATATGTGACTTCGAACCTGTCCACCGACGCTGTAACGATGTAGAATCCCCTTTCCTTGATGCGACCAAGAGTCTCAACGCCTGGCCCAAGTGTATGCTTGTAGGAAATCGACCCGGCTAGTGAATCGAGGTGCTCCATAAGCCTAAATATTAATCTTGGGATCCCTGCCACAAATTACATAACATACTCACTTGCCGGTCCTGATTGTGCCATGAGCATTTATGTACTCTTCCAATAATTCCAGCGAAGACCCAAAAGGAAGTATAAGCTCTGTATAAGAGTCATGCATATATCTCGGAGTCAAATCGATAGGCGTTGGTTGAACGGTAGCCTCCTCTCCAGGCTTGGGCGCAGTATTTAGCAGTGTTTCCGACCATTTGACTGGGGTCCGCATAGGCATGATCCTACGAGTATAGTGATTACGACCGGCCTACGAAGGTGAAAAAGGCACATACGCATGATAGGCAGGATCAGAGCGAGTCCCTGAGTGAATCAATGTTATATTGAAGGTCGAAAGGTTAAAAATCACTCACTAACCACTTTCAATAATTTGTCCATAACTGTTACATCTTGCGTTTCTTCAACTACGGAACGTGGCAAAGCTGAATTAGAATCCCTAAGAGCAGTGCAGAGGGAGAAAAGCCTTCTGTTACGAACTGCGTGTCGGCCCTGTCCAGATAACGCTTTGAACATCGTGGATGCAACTGGCAAGGGTCGGAGACGGGTTAATCCACAGCTTTCCCAGTTCCGGGTTCGGCTATCGTAACGGCCCGATCATCACTCTCCCTACCGCCTGCGTCAACCGCTTCACTGTATCTGATGTACGTGTACGTATGTACCACCCTCAACTTTTATAGGGCCTTGGACACACCCCCACTGAATGCTACATCGGATCATTATGGGGATGAACTGGAAACGAATTTGGCGGAACAAACTCAGGACAACTTGAAGCTCTTCGTTCATGTGGAATCGGTCACGACACGAATTCTGGGAGAAAATGGTTGCCTATGATTGTCTACCTCGTCTCTTACGAGACTGGACTACCCACAGTGCTACTGGCTACTTGCAGCTTGCATTTTCTCAACTGGGTAGATACCATTCAAAACCAAAAAGTGCCGGTCGTCTGACCATTATGTTTTCGGAAAAATCATTAGCAGATGATCATCATGCGCAAAAGTCAATGGAAGCAGTCGATGGTGACCCAGTTGATATCCTGAGTGATCTTCTCGCCCTCTTTCACGCACTGCTTGTCTTTCCTCCACTACTTCTCATCCCGGGGACTCTTTTTTGATCCATTCTGCCCCCTGCCCCCTGCGACGATTCGCCATGTTTTCAAAGTGGAGTCTTGGCGTTTTTAAAAGGAAAGCCCGCTCATTAGTCCGTGCCTAGTTTCTTCGTTGTTTCCGGACACTTACAGAAGGACAGTACGCACGCGTCACACGCAATCGCTTGACATTCATGTTCTTTCTCTTTGGACTCTTCCATTGTTTTGCTCAAGGAATCATACAATCGTTTCTCTTTTCGGTCGATTCGGAGTACAGTTCGTTTCTTTCCAAGATCGTCCATGCGGCAGAAGTCCCCACAAAGAATCATACACTCCTCGAAGGGTCAAGTGGAAACTATCGGTTAAGAATGTGCAACTATATTCCTCATTTTGGTTCCAACTGCACGGATGTCTTTGAGTCCCACACCAATGCCTCTAATTTGTCTTCTGAAGACGTTCGTGGTTTTTTCTCTGCAACATTCCTTCGCACTTACATTGTACCCTATCAATAGTCAATTATACGTGGTAATTTAGTACGTCCGATACTTCCTCTTTGAAATCGCCGCTTAACATCTCGTTCTTAGCTGCGCGCCAATATTGGCAGTGACCTGCAACCAGCCCTATCTCGCAATGAAACAGGCATCACCATTAAATCTCAGGATGGTAAAGATGAAGTATTGTTGGATATGCAGTGCGTCGAAATCCTCACATTTCCTTCTCAAGAGTACTTCTTTTCGTCGTACACTGTTGTATTCGTAGCTAACAACCCTTACGCAGCTTACGAAACAATGAGAGGGAGGACCTTGCGTACGCTTGTGTTTCCCAGACATATTCTATGGTTGCGAACTCATGCATGCCGGCATTAGATTGGTCTTCATTCAATTCTGGCTATTCACGATATCTGTAATCGCCATGGTATATGATTCTGTGCCTCATATGTAAGTGGTTCACGCAGGTTAAGACTCGATGTTGATAGTCTGCCATTCATGTGAGTTTAGTGTCGCTGGATTTTGCGCTCGAACACTTCTTACCTCTTGGTCTGCTTATGCTCTTTGGCGATCCCGCTCAAAGAAATCCATCTATCAAGAACTTATCGCTGACTCTCATACACCCTGCTCAGTTGACCTCTTCAACGGGGATTACTTCCGAGTGAGAAACGGTTACGAGGTGAGGCCATCCCGCATTTCGTCATAGAATCTTACACACCTATGCCTTAGGTACCGGATCTGATCCTCAATTTAACTGCCTTGTCTATTGCATGTTACTTGTCCTTGACACTTTTCAGGGTAAGAGTCAAGATTTATCGTGCGTCCACTTGCTCACGGGCCTCTTGCCTCAGGACTATAACAAACGGTCTTTCAAGTGCGTTGGCGCACCAAAGCGTATTGCAACTCTGTACAAGGTATGACTATCCATTCAATCCATTATCTCTTTTCTATTGCTTACATATATGGCATCAGTATTTTATGGCAGTTCAAGCGTGCTTGCAACTGGAACTCTACGTTCTTATGGCGGGTATGGGGCTCTGGATTGATCAACTATTTAATACATACGTTGGAGCAATATCGGAGCACACCTTTATCTATGAGGGTGTGTTCATATTCTATGCCATTGTGCGTGGTTTAAATTCCCGTATACATTGTGTACTGATCCATTGGTTCTTTCAGCTTGTTATTCCTTGGCTTGTTTTGGTCAGGCTGCCCTTTTTCGCCCTTTTCTCACTACATCTAACAACCGTCATAGGGATGGTACGCAATTCGACACGAGAAAACGATCTTGATGGCTCTTTTCATTTTCGCTTCCTTTGTTTTCCTATTCACTACAAGTATCATGTTTTACTCACAAGTCTTCCGATGGCAAGTAATGTTTTGAAGCTCTTTGTCAGCCAAGTACACGATCTGACCATTGTCTCTCACGCAGGACGTTTGTCAGCTGGACGAACTTGGCGTGTTTGATTGTAGCCTCTATGATTCTTATGGGTGCTTGCATGATTCTAGGTATCATTTGCCTCCGTAATTTTGACAAAGGTCTTTCCCATTATCGTACGTCTTTGCATCTGCTACTCTGAAGAGCACGGCACTGACATTGTTACAGTGCATGCAGATTCCATTCTGGAATCATTGAATTTTTCCCCTGCAGTCTTCGAGAATGACGTCGATTACCATGTTGACTCGAAAGCAGAACACGACAAAGCTATCGACTGTCTTCAAGGCTACCACTGAGTCACAGCTGAATCACAACTGCAGTGGGCCGGAGGCTCATCCTGTCATGAGTCGTATTCGGATATGATATATTCTCTATTTATTCTACTTTTGTTTCAATACATGTAAACGCGAACCTTGTATATATTCGAAGTGTAGCCTGTCTTACGGGAGCTCGGGCCGGAGTCACCGGTATACCTTGGACCCATCTTCCATATTGCAATGGTATTCCAAGCACCGTATCCTTCGTACGACCCCATCGACAAGGAAGGGTATGTAAAGTTATATTTTCCGGTAGCTTCTGACCAAGACCATCAGATTTTCGTGAGTCTGTCGTCAATTTTATCTCTGAACGATGGTCCGACAATTGTAGCTACGAAACTGTCCAGAAGCGATGGCCGATCATCCTTACTGGAGTCGTGAACCAGCTTCATTTAGAGAATCACGATCTTTTTGTTAGTTTAGGACAAGCCGATGGCAAGGATTCGCTGGAAGGAAAGCTTGCAGAAGGGAAATCCCTCATTGAGAAGGTTAGTAAGCTCAAGTATGAGATGGCGCGGGATCATGCATTAGAGTGCGTTCGCTTTTTGACCTACCTTCAGTATTTTTGAACACATTTCAGATCTCTCCCTCAAGACGGTGGTTCACAAGTAGAGACATATAATGCAGAGCTGGAACGACTGGCGGCTATCTCGAAGAATACGTGGTTTACTGCCCCCTGGCTCTTTGCAGAGTACGACTTCGTATTTTTCGATATGAATAGCCATCTTAACCCTTCTAGATGTTATCTGTCTGTACACCATTCCTATCAATCTCGATGCGCCTAATATGCGGTTAGTTATCGTTTAATCTGGTCCTTCCTATTGCAAACAACGCACTGGCGTCGATACGATCCCTTTCGTGCACAGAAGATCGACGCGTTTCAGAAATCTGGAGTCGCAATATATAGTGAGTGATCCTTGGGGCTAGTTTATAAGGTTGGGTCGCTCAGTTGAATACAGAGATCGCAACAATTATCCATGAATTGGATCATGCGAAGAAAAACATAGAGGAAAATGTTGATAACCTGAGGGTTTTGTTTCAAGAGATGGTGCAGATGTGCTTATGGTAACTTAACTCTTCTGGACTTTCCGTATCACATAACAGCATGTTCTTTCTTAGGGGAAACTCCATCGTTTGTGGACTGCTTTACGCCTTGAAGTCTCTTACGACTAGTAACTCATAGGATTTATCGCTATTAACAAACTTGTCCTTATCCGACATCGAGCATCTTCAAGCTGTTGGCAAAGACGCTCAAGCAGCTAGAGAAGCGTTCATTTTGAAAGACGATCAGGAAACTGCATGGGACCATCTCAAGTCTCTCAAGGACGGAAGAATAGATTTTGTGCTTGATAATGGTCAGATAAATGCTCTTCTCAAATCTTATTGACAGATATTGTGACGATATTATAGCTGGATTTGAAGTAAGCCTTCGCCGAGAAAAACTTTTCAGACTTTCACCAAATACCAATTCATTCAGCTCTTTACGGACCTGGTTTTCGCCGACTTTTTGGTCACTCATACACCATATGTTTCCAAGGTCGTTATGCAGTGCGTAGTCTCAACGATGTGTTACTAACCTTGCGGCTGATTTAAATGAAGCCCTAAGTTGATTCCATGGTTTGTATCCGATGTAACTCCATCCGACTTTTCGCAAACCTTTGATCTTCTCCTTGACGACGCGTTTTTGGCTTCATCGTGTCCAACCGAAGCAGAGAAGAAACACCTTCGGTATATGACGGAAAGGTGGAAAGATTATGTAGAACGAGGCATTTTCTCGTTGTCCGTACCAATAAGCACTCCTCTTGGAGAAGGAATAGGCTCCACAGCTGATTTCTGGACGACTCATTTACCCTACTGGAACATGAAGATCCATGCTCAGTCTCTGTGGACCGATTTTCATCTGAACAGCAGCCTTGTTATATTTAAGGTTATTCTTTATTTTATCTTGTGCTTTGATCAAAGACCGATGCGCGTCATATAGGGAGACCTAAAGTAAGTACGATGATCCGATCTAATACTCGTTAACATTTTACCTCCTCATCTGATCCACTTAGTTACCGCAAGTAAGTCGTTCCCTTATTTAAAACGCTTCTAGATACTGACTGTGCCTGCAGGCTGACGGGGGACATAAGCTGGCCAACGCTGACTCCATTTAGGGTGGCCATAGGTAAGATGTTTTTCAATGGTGCGAGTATTTTCTTCACACTGTAGCAGGGCCTTTGGCGGGATCTTTCCCTCTATTGAGTCTCCGCACTAGCAAGGCTGATGTTGTCGTGGGAGTTAGTAATGAGGTAGCTGCGCAGCTTAATAAAACCGACAAGCACTGGCGAGTAAACGGGCGGTAAATTCGGGGCTTCTCTGTCATTGCTGTCCCTTATTGATCCCTTTACAGGTATGCCTTGATATCCTTCGAGGATAAGTCACACTAGACGACTGTGTAAATGTATTTTTTGTGTCCGCCTTCCTTTTGTTCTCATCAGATTAAATGCATTTCCGTCGATCCGTGTCAAGGACGGAACTTCTTTTGAGGAGCACATGCAAAACCCATTGATATGAACACTTCAGGTCCTACGCCCGCCGTATCCGGCAGAGAAATACATATTTAAGATAAGTGCACCCTTTCGCTCCTTATCTCCTGGCCAGCATGATGCTTGCGTTCGTTTTAACTGCTTCTCTTGCTTTAATAGCTAGCGTGTCAGGATCTGTTGTCCCTAGAAACAACAGATCTAGCAGCTCTCGAGTGCTCATTCTTGGTGGGGGCATTGCAGGTGTTATCGCTGCTCGAACTTTGCACGAAAATGGCATCGACAATTTCTTAATCATTGAAGCTCGCGATGAGCTTGGCGGGCGAATGAAGAGCCATACTTTTGCAGGCTACACGATCGAACTTGGTGCCAACTGGTGTGTATCAGGGATTAACCTCGACATTTAGCAGGCTAATATTTTCGACCCAAGGATTCAAGGGACGCAAACGGGAACAGGTCCGGCTAACCCGATTTTCGAACTGGCCCTGAAGCACAACGTTACGACTGAGTCCAACAATTTCGTTGGAAGTTTAAGTGGGTGGCCGCGTCCATTAATTTCTCACACTGACCTCATCGGTTATAGCGACTTTTGATGTTACCGGAGAAGTGGATTATCTGGACGTATTTAACGATTCTGTTGATGCCTATACCGCTTTGACTGTGACTGCAGGCGTGTTCGATCAGCTGCGTGAATGTTTACGTTCAATACTTACTATGTGTTGCAGGTGCGCGTGTCAATGGATCACTGGTGGATTTGACTTCAAAAACCGGTTATGCACTGAATGGAGCCAGGCCACGAGACGCGCATGAGATGGCTTCAGAGTACTACCAGGCAAGTCTATTTCTATAACAATTACATCTAGACTTAGGATGACCCTTGGCGCAGTTTGATTGGGAATATGCTCAGAAACCTGATCAGACCTCGTGGATTGCTTCGTCTTGGGCACGTAAGGACAATCGCTGAAGCAGTTCGAAAGCTGAAGCCAGTTTAGGCGAATAATTTCACCTATAATGTGGACCAAGGCGGATTTTCTGAGGACGATTTTTTCGCTATAGATCAACGAGGGTTCAAGGCCCTGATCCAACTGGAGGCTCAAGAATTCCTGAAGTCCGAACAAGTTTTACTGAGTTCGACAGTGAAGACGATTTCGTACTCCGGGGGCGGAGTCCAGGTAACGATGACAGGCGGCGAAACAATTGAAGGAGATTATGCGCTTTGCACGTTCAGCCTTGGGGTATTGCAGGACGACGATGTGACATTCAAGCCTTCCCTTCCGGCCTACAAAATGGAAGCAATCCAGAGTATGACAATGGCCACATACACAAAGATATTCTTGAAGTTTCCCGAAAAGTTCTGGTTTGATACGGAGGTCAGTCAGTCTCTCCCGGAACGGAATGTGGGTGTGCACTGATTTCGTAACAGTTCGCGTTGTACGCCGACCCAACGCGCGGCACCTACCCTGTCTGGCAATCGTTGGACCATCCAGACTTCTTCCCAGGGTCCGGGCTGATCTTCGCCACTGTAACAGTTAGCTTTCACCTTTGAAAGTTTGTGTTCCTCTCAAGGTTTGTTCTACAGGGCGATTGGTCCTTGAGAATAGAGGCATTGTCAGATGATCAGGTACAGGGTGAAGTGCTGGAAGTCCTCCAGAAGATGTACCCAAACATTACCATACCAGAACCGACCGACTTTCTCTTTCCGCGCTGGAATTCTGATCCTCTTTACCGAGGATCCTACTCTAATTGGCCCCCATCATTCTTCAGTCAACATCACGACAACCTCCGGTCAAATGTTGACCGGTTATATTTTGCAGGCGAAGCAACGAGCCAGAAATATTTTGGTGAGCTAGGAGTATAATTATCGCGGAACAGGCAGTTGATGCGTCATTTCAGGCTTTCTGCATGGTGCGTACTTTGAAGGGTTGATTGTAGCAACGATCATGGCGGAATGTATCAAGAGTGACGGATGTGTGGCATTGCAACATGTAGAGGAAGTGAGGAACGCATTTCCATACGAAATATGACGTCCAGCTGAGCGAGCCTATCGTATGTTGACTGTCGAGGCATTGTGAAGGATAATCGAGATACTTAAGGTCAGGTTGGTGATGTATCGTGAATGGTTGTTAAGAATCGGAGAATCGAGGACTACATCTACCGCCGAAAATTCAGCTGCATCGGACAGGCCATGTTGTCTATCTTCCAATTTCTTGTCACTATCGTCTGTAGGTGCCACTCACTGAAGTGGTCTGGACCCGCTACCATTGCTGTCTAAAAAGTAACACGCGACTAATAGTCTGGCGTCCAGCACTTCGGATGGTGAGCCTCTCGGATTCATGAGGGGGCACTATGTGGCACCTCGGTCCCATAGTGGGTCCCACGTACTGACAGTTCACCAAATACTGTATCGGATCGTCTGCGCGCTTCGCTCGTTATTCACATCCAAGGTCTTGAGCGGGAACATTGTATAGAGCGGCGTGGTGTCAGTGTATCGAAGACGATGGGTGGCATGCATCAAAGACAACGGATGTGAAGAACGGATTCCCATAGTAGATATATATATGAGGCCTAAGACTGAGCCAGCCGGTTCTGTACTTATTATCGAAAACGGAAGTTGCGAAGGAGACAGTGATGAGCTATTTGATAAAGAAGCCGTTGCTAAGCCGTCTTCTGCTACCGCCACAATCTAGAATTTCACTCTAATTTATGCTGCCCCGCACCATGCGACATGTATCTTTACTTCTTTCTTTCTTTCTTTCACCCACCACCTTGCGTGCATATGCATTACTGAGCTGGTCTAATCACGCCCTGGGTGCGTTTTCTGACGACGTTGTCCTACCACTCTTTTCTTCAAGTCCTTCTCTATACGACTGGTTCGTCGTCGTTGAGCGATGCTGAGAAACTCCTCTCCTAAATTCGTGAAAAAGGCTCTTTGGGGGTCCAGGCTGAAGATAGTGGTGCGTTTTGTATTCACTACATGCACTGTCTTCTAATCCTATTGCAGTATACTAGGATTACCTTGACCAGATTCACCTTGCTCTACTTCATTGTCGCTTTCTTGACTTGTGTGGTTTTGGTTGGTCTCCAAGGCCTGGCCTACTACGATAACTCCAATGCCGCCAATCTCATCTCCGACATCTTAATCGAGGCCAACGTTACCAATGGTTTGACGATCTTATCAGGCAACTTGCTGCAATACTGCCATGATATTCCGAGCGAGCGGGATTCCAACTGCGTTCCTATTCGACCTGGTAACTTGACCTCTGCCATCACTGGCAACACGACAGATGAATTCATGCTGCGCGGTGATTCAGCTCACTCTTTTGCCAAGGTGCGCAGCAACTGGCTACAGCTTGTTATTGTTTCCAAACGGTCTTACTAGCGCGATCTCCCTACCGTTCTACCGGTTTTCAATAGTTCCGGAGCTATGGTTGGCGTCAAGGTTGCAGACAGTGTGTTACCTGTCCCATGTTTGCAGTCTTTCAGTTGGCTTGGGGATGTGTGAGTTTTCATGTTCAATCGTAGTAACGTTTAACTGAACTTCGGTTCCAAGCCTTCAAGACTCAAGGAAAGAAGATGTCGTTACCTTGCTATACCAGATTTGGATGCTGAGCCTCTCAATCATCGCTGTCCGTTATTATCCTCAGTCTATCGTTCTCGTTTTGTGACACCAGTCTTCAGATATTGAACGAGTCTCTTCCGCATCTCGGAGCGCCTTTGGCTGGTCACATACTCGGAACAGCTTGGGCAAGTTTCCGCGTTTCAAGCTCGAAACATTTACAGGCTCGGTATAACCGGTTCATTGTGCATGGCACCTGTGATGGCATCGATCTTTTGCAAGATTGGTGGACCATTCGAACGAGACATACGGTGTGATCTACCGTCGTGATATCTGGCAGGCGTCGAATTGAAAATTTTTGACAGATCCCCGTTGTCGTCCTCAATGGTGTTGCGCTTCTGACACTGCTTTATTTGTCTGCCAATCTCTACAAGGTAGACTCAATGCCATGAGTAATGATCGTCTGCTTATCGTCATAGGTCTACGCGAACCAATCGTTTAGTCGTGTTGGTGGTTCGCCTGAAATCAATAGAATATACAAAGCATGTCGCCCTTCCATATACCTCGACTTGTCTTACATTTACTCTAGTTCGTTCTTTTGTTTTCCGTGATGCTACAATTAGCTGGGTTTTTTGCCCTTGCTGCCACTGGGATGTGGATAGACAAGATCTCTGGAGGCAGCATCCGACGTGTTGCCCGACATCTTCCTCTGTATCTTGCTGTTTTTGGCGTAACCGCAGCGGTCAGTACGCCAAGATATGTCTTTTAGACACCACTAATAAGTCCCACTTCTAGTGTGAACTTCCATGGGTAGTTCTGGTTCGTTTCAAAACGATTATTTTCTGTTCAGTCTTTGACGCGAAAATCTTTTAGGGATGGATTTCTGTCCGGCGAGAATATCGTCGTTTATTCGTTGTTTTCGGTGTCCTTTCTCTGTTTCTTCTAGGCGTTTCAACCTTCATGTTTGCCAGTCCGCGTATGTATCCCTAGATTGTCTATGAAATCTTATTAACTCTATGATGTAGTGTATCGCTTCATTTTCATGTCTTGGCCTTTTTTTGCCACCATGACCGTGACCACTTACATTCTCCTGGTCGCTACCTCAGCTTTGGGTGTTGTTTGCCGCCTACACTTTGACAAAGGCCTGGCACAGTTTTGTACGTTGACTTTCTTTTCTTCGATATCTATTCGAATGCTAATGCCGTAGCTCCAGTGAGAGTCAGCGACACCCTTGAAGGCATGGATTTTACACCGGCGTACTTCTCCAAGAATGTCAATGATGTCGATGACATAGTCGGACTTAAGCGTTCGGCATCTGAAAAGTCCTACGCATCGTCGAAGAAAGTACCATTGGACGAGAAGGAGATGCCTGACATCCAGGAACCGTCGGCCGCTCATTTCGAAACGAGAGCTGGCTATTCTCTTTCGGTGTATTCCGATTCTAACCGACCTACCATGAAATTCACCTCCACTCCCAAAGTCGCACGGAGCCAACGCACTTCTACTGTATCGACGGCCACTGCCCTTACATCCTCCACGACTTCGACTTACAACAAGCAGTCACGTTCAACGACCAAATCTACTTGGAAGGAGCAGTCCAACAGACCTCCGACCCGTCTGTTCCCTTTTCCCCAACGACAGGACACAGAGACTGCATCGTTGGTAAATTCTATAACCACCGTTGTTCGCAAAGACTTGCCCGTCATCAGCACGCCCAGGAGGATGAAGTCTTCGCAGGCGAAAGACGCTGGCATTAAGTCTTCCACATCTACTTCGGCTTCGGCTGTCTCTAAGGAATCGACTCCACCTCCAGGAGCCTCTTCTTCCGTTCCCGCCGTTATTCGTCAGGACTCCCCTGATAGTCTACGTGGACCGAGATTGCCGGCGAGCCCTCGTCCGTCGAAGCCCTTGTAGTTAAGAGTGGTTGCTAGTCATCATCGTGCCAACATACTTTCATACTGATACTACTTGATCCCATCTTTTGTACTGGTAACACTGTTAGCATGGGTTACAATATGTCGTGTAATACAAGATAGAGTCTTGTCTGATATATCCATGTCAACAGACCTCACTAGTCTAGCCTATCCCAGGCCGTTCCTGGGTCCGAGATCTCTCTTCAAGCCTTGGCAGGGTGACAAGCCATCCCAAAAAGACAGGCCACCAGTCGAATTCCGTCAACGGTGAGTCTGTCGCCTGCCCAAAAATATAATTGCCCTCTGTCATCTGTTAGAAGAAGTAAACCGACCCAAAAGATAGCATAACGCACTCTATTCCAAGACAAGTTGCATCTCATTGGTGGAAGTCTTCGAAGACGTGGACGTGAACACCTCGGCGCCAGAGGCCAAAGAATCGATGAGTAGAGAGAGACGAGCGGCCCCAAGGTTAGGTTCCTATCACAAGGTGAGGACAACTCTTGCAAGATGCAAGAAAGTAGACGTACCTTTCGTATTTCTTCCAAATCATCTCGGAAGCCATCAGCCACAGAGGCCATCCAAAATTTCCTGAATCTTGCCTTTAACTCTTGTTCATTAGCTGGAGCAGTTCCCGAAGCGGGTATGAAGGAAGGAATCGCAGTTGGAGGCGGTGATGGTGAAGGCAATTGTCTTGTCTGCACACGAGGAAGCTCTGCGACATTTTTGGTAGGTTCAGGACGTCCTCTGGTAGGGACGGAGTCAGAGTCAGAGTCGGATTCTGATGACGATGAAGATTCTGATGGTGCTGGGATGGGTTCTTTTGGCTCAGGTTCGTCTTCCGAGGGGGATGAGAATGACGATGAGGAGGAAGACGAAGATGCTGCCCGTCTTTTTCTTTTTCTGTTGCGCCTTTTCGGTGCAGGTGGCTTGGCAGGAGCAGTTGCCGCCATCGTGGTAAGGTAGTAGTAGTAGCAGTAGTAGTAGTAGCGTAAAGGAAGGAAAAGGTGTCCGGGTCGGATGCCGGACACCTCTTGACCAGATGCCATCACCATCTCCGCCTCTTGACTCGCTACCATACGATCTATACGCGCTGGTCCTGCACCTTCTCTTTTCCAGATTTCAGCCTGGTGTACTGAAGACCTTTGAAGACTATATCGAGACCTGTCTGCAAGCTACCAACATCATTTCTCCGGTCGATTTTCAAGCGCTTGCTGATGTGGACCAGGACGTGGTTGGTTCGCGTCATTTACGCGTCTTTGTTCCGTTTTTGCTCAGTATATCTTTCCAGGTCATCGATATTTTAGAGGTATGTGAACGGTCATTATGTGGTTGTCCGATCGAACAGAACTGTCCAGGCTGCTGTCATCAACTTGAACGTGTCCTTCATGTGTGTGCCGGTTGCCATATGTGACTGCTGGGACGCTGTTTTTGAACTTTTCCGTGCCGTGGAAAGACAGCTTGGGCAGGATTCTCACTACATGCACTACCGTGCGTTATATTCTCCCGTCTACATGCAGTGGCTTAGTATGATCCTAGTGAGAATTACAGCAATTGAAGTCCTCATGACACAACTGCCTTCGAACCTGGTCTTTTCGTGGTCCGATTCAGTACTGGATCTTTCAGCTATTCAGGCCGCCCTCGAAGCGGAGTACTCTTGCCCGTTAGTGCCGAATCTCGATATCACAAGGACTCCTTCGCCGTCTCTATCAAGTTCTCCACTTTCCTCTTTGCGCAACTTTACACCATCGCCTTCAGAAATGACCATGGATCCAGCTGATGCTTATAACGAATCGCCCTTGACTCCAGAACATCCTGAAGAAGTAACGTCGTCTCCAATTGGAGCTTCTCACGCCTTGGACAAGTACCCATCAAGGATGGATATGAAATCTTTGCTGGCACCTCCTGCTGTTCCGGATGCCATAGCGACACCCACCCCGAATGATACAGGACAGCTTCGTGCAAATTCTCTCTGCCTCCAGCTCTTTCCCGCTCAAAATGTACAACATAGTACTTCCCTCGCTGAAGATATCGCTCCCTTGGATATTTCGCAGGTTCCCGCTGCCTGTGACGACGATCTGGAGAAGAAGGAAAAGAAGAATCAGTCACGGAAGCTTTCTCGTGTCACAATGGAAACTCGGAGTCGCAGGAAGAGGGCTGTTTCGATGCGGGAAGATAAAGAGAACCTGGACCTGGACATTATTCTGTAAACAAGGCGACGATGCGTATGCCGTCTCCTGCAACTGTTGCCTTTAGTATACTTAGAATTTCGTTGCGTACCTGTTACGGGCCGCTTTCGGTGTAACCTTTGACAGCTATCCATGATGTATCACACTTTCTATTGTCCCGCCTTTGTCGAATGCAGCGGCGTCACTGTAACTTATGCCAGATACAGAGCCAGAGACATACGGTGGCCAGCTGCCCCCCACAACTGTGGAAGCAGATGAACATGCCACAGAGGTCGACACGAGTGCCTTGAAGGACAAGGACTACGCGAAGGCTTTAGCTCCCTGGCGCTATGCCGTTCGAACCAAGCTCGTTGGACGTGTCAAGGCTGAATCAAAGGCAGTAGCCTATCTCCAAGTATGTACTTACTAGTACCAACTCATGAAAACGGTTGCCAATGACTTTACTGCAGAGAACAATGCGTACATCTTGGCTGGATATATACTTTGTCTACTCTTCGTACCTCGGCACCGACACTTTCTTTCTCATCGTCCTCCCGCCATTCTTTTTCTTTGGGTACGATGACTTTGGTAGAGGGTATGTCCTTACATACATCGTGGCTTCTCTCACTTTTTTGCAGTTTGCTGATGATACTGGCTCTTGGTGGCTACGCCTCTTCGTCATGCAAGGATCTTTTCTGCTCGCCCAGGCCGCCTTCCCCGCCCGTAACGCGTCTTAGTACGTGATAACGTCTCTCCGTCCTGCTCGCCGTTAACGGAATTTGTTAGCTCTCCGGGACCATCATCTGGAGTACGGTTTCCCATCAACACATACCACGCAATGCTCCTCGATTGCTCTCTACTTCCTCCTCCATGTATCGCCCGCATATCGTCCCCACATATTCATATACACCTTCACCATCATCTTCGGCCGATTGTACACAGGCATGCATACTTTCACCGACTGCATTGTCGGCTGCATCCTTGGAAGCTCAGCAGTTTGGGTGCATAGCCTTCCCATGTTCCATTACTTTGAAGCTTGGGTGTTTGAAGGTGGTTTGGCCGTTCCACTGGTCCTCATTTTTGTGTTCCTGTTCTTCCTCGAGATGCATCCCCGTTCGTGACACCCTCAATTCTTTTAGATGTGCTCTAACCATAGAACAGTTCCTGTAGATCCTTGTCCTTGCTTCGAGGATTCTATTGCTTCTGGGAGCGTCGCGCTAGGTGCTCTGCTTGGAAGATGGGGTGCCAATTACTTCAGCGTTGGCACTCTACTGCCAATAAGCTCGTGGGCCTGCGCTGCCATGTGGGTAGACTCCGACGTCCTATGGATGGTCCCCATTTTGAAGATGTTCATAGGTTGGACTTCATTCGTTTCTATTTCAGTTTCATCTCAGCTGACATTGACTGGAAAGGCATGTCGATTATTCTTTTATGGCGTTTGCTTGCCAAGGCGATGTTAGTACCAATATTAAAAGAGGTTTTAAGAGAAGAGGTTGCAACAAGTAGGGTGCAAGGTAAACATCGTAAAAGTTACGGTATGTCATTGTGTTGGTAGAAATCACGGCGGTCTAGCTCACAAATTTCAGTTCTCACAAAGGTCATTGTGTACGCCGGGATTTCCGTACTTGCGTGTGATGTGCTACCCGCCGTTTTTACTTAAGTAACATTCGTCAGTCCGCAGACACAGCAACCCCGTCCACCCATGACGGCAAAAACAATGCTTGCAGCTTTGTGAGTCACTCAACACGGTCATGCACGGTTCCACCGAAAAATTCAGTTTGTAATGTCTTCTCAATGATCTGAATACATTAGCTACAATCTGGAGAATTGGCCTCGAAATAGAAACTAGACTCGGGAGCTGACTGCAGCGTCCCATGGCTTCGCCAGGTCTGACATGACACTGAGTGACCACTCCGACTCCTGTCTACTATGACTCCAAATCGAAGAACCAGACCCTCGCTTTAGCAGGAATTGTTGCAGGCAGGTTACTTTTACGCAGTGGATAATAGGCCAGACTGAGTACGACGGTCAATTGCTTAAAGGCA